ACCAGTCTGTCCTGGTCAGTGACGTAGAGTCCCGCTGCGCCAGCGCCTGGATGACGGCATCGTGACCCAGCAGGGGTTTGGCAGCGTCGCTCTTCAGGATGAGGCTGCCGGCCCTGCAGTAGAGGTCTGCAGAGAGGAGGAGGCTGGCCACAGGAGGCTTCAGGTGCTCCTGCTCGTACTGGTCCGTGTAGAAAGGGTCCTTTAAATCTGACGGGACGCTGTCTGCATTGTGGCCAAATTGGAGATAAGAGATTGCACTTTAGATATAAAAAATATACCACTCAAGAACAACATCTGTGAGGTGGCAGAAACATTGCATGTAAGAAAAAGAAAAAGAAAATCTTAGATGCAAGTTTGCCATACATTTCACCAATTTCTTACTGAACTGAATATAGAGTGAGGTAAAACTAAGGAATACAAAATGAGTAAAACTTTGGTTATTTAGACATGAGTTTGAATGCAATGATGGCATCTTATTCCAAATCTGCAACTGCAGTTAGACTTTATGATGACATTTCCAGCGAGTGCCAAGATTCCCTGCAATTCCTTTTCCTTGGCAAGTGTGCTTCGTTTTCATTGCCATGCTTGACAATATCTTGATGTGGTATGAGTGGATAGACCGCAGCGTTGCTATAGCAACCGTGGAGGGAGAGGAACCTGATCGATTCATCTAGTCTGTATCTCTGCAGCTTCGAGCTCCCTGGGAACACCCCTCTCACTGTCTGCTTCATCAAAGAGAGAGCCTTCATGGGTTTGTGTGAAGTGTGTGTGTGTGTGTGTGTGTGTGTGTGTGTTGTGTGTGTGTGTGTGTGCGTGCACCTCAGGCAAGTCCAAGCAATGGGATTACAGCCTACAGATAATATGAAGACATTGCATGTTTTACTGCTTCTGTCTTCCATCTTCTTGTCTATATGTTTACTGAGCGAAGAGGAAATGTTTCTTAAAAAGAAAAAGAGTTGCTACTGTGGCCTTTCTTTTTCCACAACTGATTAAACGATACAATTGTGGTTAACTGGGTTTGAAACTTGATCATGCAGCTGTGTGAAAAAACAAACATCTGCACACACTCCAGATGCAGATCCATCACACTGTGAGGGCTCAGAAGATGCACATTTTGATAACTGCCTGACATACGTAGAGAACATGTGGTGACAGCTTTACATCCCTGACACTGCTTTCCATCCTCCAATTCACCCACCCACACACACACACCAATGAATAACCTGACCATTATCACAAGGTCATCTGCTGAGTGACTGAGTTATTATGGAACCAGGATGCAGACAGTGGCAGTAGCAGGTATCTATATTAAATGTTTTTTTCTTGAATGTTCATGTTATTGACCAAACAAAAGAAACATTGATCTTTCCTCCAGCCCTCCCCCTCCATCATCGCACACAACCCAACCTCAACAACATCTTGAGGCTCGTAAAGTGTCCGCATTTTGCTCAGGTAAATAAAATAAACATACAGTTTATTATTGAGTTCTATACAATGTGTGTATTCCATGTTTACTGAGCTTAACAATCCCACAAAGCTAAAACAGCTGCATTTACAAAAGTGATCACAATCGATCCATAGTAAGCACAGCAGTCAAAAAAATAAAGCTTCAATCATTGCATCAAATTTGCATCAATTCAACCACTTCTAAAATCTGCTGTTTTGACGCACTTGAGCAAGTAAGTAGAGAGTCAAATGAATTTACAGTTCACCCATGTGTTCAAAAGGACAGCTCTGCCAATGAATTTCAGCTGCTATGTGCATTAAAAACTTGTCGTTGTGCTGTCTGATAGAATTGAAAAGCATTTCCAAACAGTATGATGACTTGCTGTATAGGCTACATCTTGCATCCACTAAAATGTATTTTCTTGACACACTCCTTTATTGACGTAATGAGGCATATGCATGCTGAGTATATCGAGCAGCGTAGGCAGAGATCTGGAGATGAGCCCGCTCTCTCTCTGGAGGGCTATATTTTTGGAATCAGCCCATTTCTTTCAGGCCTGATTCAGAATACACAGAGGATCTGCAAGGAATCTCATGTTTGCTGGGCTTTTACAACACACTGTAAAAGGTATAATCTGTGGCTGCACAGCTGAGACAAACAGAGCTGCATTGTTTATTTTGAAGATACTTTGTTGAAGCCAACATAAAAATGAGGCACAGTATTTCGCTAATTACAATAAGCGGAATCGAAATGACAGAAAGCCTTTGGTCGCGGGAACTCTCTGAGTCTTTTGTTTTTCTATATGTGGAAAACCCTGGCTCTCACGGTTATCTAAGTTTCCACATCAATAGGTGTTTGAGTATTGATTGATACCTTTTCTATATTGCTTCTTTTAAATGTTCTGATTGGGAATGCAAATGCAAAGGGTGATCTTCAATAAAACATTACAATCCACCTACCCTGACCAAATTGTGCATGTGCACCTTAAAAGTTCTCCAGCTGTGGAACACATTTTCAGAATGAATGATACAGCTATCAAAAGATCGACGAAATCAAAATGATTTAGGCCTGATTAATTGAATATCTAGCTCCTACTTACACTTTCAAAACCCAGTGTAGAGATTCTTGCACGCTGGCTGCATTCTATTTTTTCTGAGGCCAGTCACAAAGTGATCTGCTTCGGCTACAGACTCCTGAGCTGAGATTTTCTAAAACCCCGCTTCAGAGTAAAATCCTTTTTCACTGTAGTGTCAGTGAATGGACAGAGGCCTCATTCATAAATACAGTGAAGTGATCTTGCTCCGCTTCTCTGCTCAGTTGTTCCACCTTATCTGTCCTGTCTCTGTCACCTAGAATTAACAATACCACAATCATGTATTAAAAAGCTTAGAAGAGCAGCAGACACCAGTTCCCGGTTGTGCCTTTTGCAGCTGCTTAAGGGTGAAAAACGATGCTGTTACCATGTGTCAGACGACACTATTTAGCACATTTCACTCTGACGGCTGAGAACTAACATTTGACAGCAGCTTTTTGCCTCTTCACCAGACACGTCTATTGAATCTGCTCAAATTGTGAACATGTGACTTAAAGGGTGTGTGTCAGTCACATGCTTACAAGTGTTACGCTTATAGTGATGTGAGGTATAGGTTTTGACAGGTATGTTGTTGAAATAGATGAGTTATTGTCACTGTTAATCTAAATTGTTGTAATTCGACTGATGGACAATAGAGGGTGTTAATAACTAATGCATTAAAACAATAATACCTTTAATTCGAGCATGAGTGAGCCTCTGAGCCACCATGTTTCAACTTTCATATCTATATTTGTATCATCCATCTACCTGAAAGTAGCAATACTGTTGATTTATCTTACTTTTCCTCATCACATTTTTTAAACACACCCTTTTTCTGTGCAAAATCCCTTGAGGCTATTTAAATCTCACAAGTGATGATGCCTTTTCCCCCACAAAATGTGGATGCTGTCCTGGAGGTGACATCATCGGGGACCCCTTCCTACCTCTGTGTTCTTACATTGATGCCTGTTTCCATTAGGGACAACACAGTTATTGATCACCGCAGAGGAAATGGTTTTATGTGTGTGTCCCCCCCTTGGGATGATATTTATTAATCTTTCCAATAGGCAATTCATTTTCACAGAACAACAGGGGTGTTTTGCACCTTAAAAGGTTTAACTCGGATGGAAAAATCACAGAGAATCCTGGTAGAGAAATCGCCTCAGGTAATCAAAAATGAGTCCATAGTGCAAATCAAGCCTCCGATGTCTATACAGGCCAAGGCAGGTGAGGTTTAGTGTCAAATCAAAATTATTACCACTACAAGAACTGTATAACATACATGCAATGCTTTATATATTTCTACTATTAGGCCTACTTAAACCTGCTCACCAACATTTCATTTTGAAAACCAAAACTATTCATGCAGCGTTCAGGTGCAGTAATGTCCCTACCTGTCCCGTATGCTTTGGCCACCAGCCATGTGAAGCTACAACATATTTTGGCCCTGGAGAAGTCATAGTGCTCAAAAGACTTTATTGACGGAGCAACGAAGGTCTTCCTCGCATCCCTGACGTCCTGAACTTCACCCATATTCCTCCCTCAATTGTTTGTCTTGAACCCTGCAGCGCACTTAACGCGAAAGCATCACACTCGTGGAATCTCGTGGAAAAACAACACACGGCGGTAAATGACGGGATGCGGTGTCTGTCCGGACGCTATAGACAGATTTGTTCAGTCATGAAATGCTCGGTTGGCTTCTGGTTTTGGCGTAATGTAGTCACGTTTGCACAATGAGTCGCTAGTCTCGGTGTTTTTCATCCATTCGGACGCGTAGCAGCTGAAATTGGCTTCGTTCAAACAAACTCGGAAGGTTTCCTTGTATTTCAGTGGAAAAAACGCTCTCCGGCCGACATAAAAACAGAAATAGGCCTACATCCATTCTTTCGGTTCTTTGGAAAGCATGCAGCTTCTCCCTTTCATGTCCATGTGTTATTGTTTTAATAACCTATGTATTAGCATTCCCTCCCCTGTTCTGTCTCTGGTGCCGTGGTGCGGTTTTCCTGCCGCACTGAGGCACTCGAAGCCCTGCACCCTTCGCACTCAATGCGCATGCGCTAAGGTTGCTTTCAAATGCAGCCGGGAATTCTTACATACATTGGAGGCGTCTCCTTTTTTTTTTTTTTTCTGCGCGTAAACTGAATGAAATTGGCTGCTTTAAGATTAAGGTTTATCATTACGGACTACAGTGTTCATCTGTTACTTATTATTCGCATGGAAATGTATTTATTCAAACTATCAGCATCATCAGATAGTAAAACACACAATATTTGTGTTTCCAACGTGCACCTGAATGCATGACAAAACCCGAAACATAAACATGACCAAAAAACGAAGACTTTGCACAAAACTAACTAAATAACAAACAAACAAACAAACAACAAATGTCGAGTCATTTTCCAGCAGTTTGGACAAAAAACACTTCAAGGCAGGCTGTAATGACATACATGACCATGGAAAAGCTCCGTTCTTAAAAACTACATTTCCCAACGTGCAAACGCATTGCTGCGTCATCAGTCGGCGTCGGTTATTGTTTTGAATCGTTGGAATATGATGCGTGGAGGTAAAGTTTGTCGTTCATAATCATCATACAGGTAATATACACCCAAACTAACCGATTTTCTTGGTTTGAAAACTATCACACGAACATTTAGACTTGTTTTTCGTAGCCTACTCCCTGTCCTCTTCATGTGTTGTCTGACTGCATCGTGTTTCCTTGTCATCTTCATGTGTCCTCTTAAGTTCTTCAATGTAGGTGTTTCAGCATTCACTTACACCAAAATAACGTTTTTGCAAATGGAGCAAATACATTTATTGTTTAATTATAATTTAATTGAAAGATCGTGAATATAGATGACTTGTTTATTCTGTAAATAATATACGGTATGTAAAGAAGCTGGTGTAATTATGACTATACATTACTCTAGCTTACATTTAAATACATTTTTTTTTTGCTTAGGGTCACATTTTGGCAAGGGCAATTCTGTTTACATGTGTTTTTTTTATGATGTTCACAGGTTAATACCCACCTACTCCCACCCAAAAGAAAAAAAACAGAAAATGTTTGTGCCCAGAGCTCTGAAAGTGAAGAGACCTGCCCAGGCCTCAAGCCACATTTTGACCAAGAAAAGCAAAGGCGATTGGGAGGAGAGAAAGGATGAAGGTATTTCAGTGGCACTTGTTCAAAAGGAGGAAGCATTTGAAGACACAGAATCACAGTGTGGTACGATCCAAACAAGTGGAGAGTCTGCAGGTGTGACAGAGAGCTCAGTGTGCAAGGACGTACTGGATCCTGCCTCAAGTGATGCAGAGGATGACACGGAGGAAGAGGAACCTGTAAAATCCTTTAGAAAGAGCCAGAGATGGCCTGAGCCGGGGGAGCCTGTCTGTGTGATGTGTGGTCGCTATGGAGAGTACATTTGTGACAGTACTGACAATGATGTTTGCAGTCTTGAGTGCAAAGCCAAGCATTTGGCCCAAATGGGGTTAGGGACCGGGGCAGATGTGTTTATCCGTACGGACAAAACTGAAGATGAAATAAAGACTCAAACTCAACAGCAAGCGGGTGACCCTGGTGGAGTATGCATTAGTGAATCAAGCTATTCCTACAGGGAAGATCCGTTCATTTCAGGCCTAACAGAAGAGCAGGTGCAGCGGATTAAACAGGAGCTGGGCGTTGAAACAGAGGGGAGAGACGTCAGTAGACCCATAGTTGAGTTTGAACACTGTGGCTTCCCTGCGACACTCTATGGAAACCTGAAGAAGGCTGGCTATGAGGCACCCACACCCGTCCAGATGCAGATGGTGCCTGTTGGTCTCACCGGACGAGATGTGATCGCCAGCGCTGACACAGGCTCAGGGAAGACTGTGGCCTTCCTTCTGCCAGTGGTTGTGAGGGCACTGGAGGTACAGTGATACTCCTATTTGTATTTATTTCAGAGAGGTCTACTTTTTAACTCAAAATGTATTTCTCATTTTATCTAGATTAATCTATATTTAGCAAAACATGAGCAACCTGACATCATAGTAGCCCAAAATCTCCTTTTTGATGTCTGCTGAAAAGCCTGTGTGACACGATGATATCTTTGCCTTTACAAAACCTTTGGCTGATTTGAATGAACGTATACATAATATACCTTGGACACAATTATATACAGTTACAGTCTAGCAGATGAGGGGAAAATCTGAATTTATTTTTTTGTGATGCGTGGTAAAGAACAAACAAATCATCTATGGCAGACATGGGCTCTGTAATATTACTTACGTAATTTAATCCCATGATTGCTTGTATGTGTATTAAGATGCAGAGCCTTTTATTCCTCTAGAAAACAGCACACAGTGTGAGCAGTCCTGTGGCTCTGATCCTGACCCCTACCAGGGAACTGGCCATTCAGATAGAGAGACAGGCCAAAGAGCTTGTGATGGGACTGCCTAACATGAGGACTGCACTGCTGGTGGGCGGCATGCCGCTTCCTCCACAGCTCCACCGCCTGAAAAGCAGCATTAAAGTACAGAGTCCTTGATTTAATTTTGGTATTTCATCCTTCAGTCAATGAAAACATTTCTTTGGAGTTGTCAGCGTTCTACTTTGTCATGTTCTACTTCTGGTATTCTTCCCCTTTAGATAATCATAGCCACCCCTGGGAGACTTCTTGAGATCTTGAAGCAGAAGGCAGTTCACTTGAATAATGTGAAGGTCATCGTGGTTGATGAGGTATGATAAACAATGTGTAAACAACCAGCTAAAGGGTTTCCAATGGAAAAAAATATGGAATTATTGGAAGTATATTTTCATCCAATGATCCATGCTTAACAAACCCAGAAAACCTTCATTTGTGTGGATTAATTTAGCCATGGTTAGTATCTAACATTATTGTATGCCAATGATAATGTTTCATGATAGCTAATTGCATGTGAGTCATGGAATGTCTCAAATCATGTTAAATTCAGATTTACCAAAAATCATTCTTAAAGTTTTGAAGAAAAAAACTTGCTTATGAATTGGGTCAATTATACTGTCAGCTTTATTTAGAAGAAACGGTACAACCCTGAACTACAGAACACACAGAGACATTGTTTGTGTTGTATCCCACAGGTTGACACGATGTTGAAGATGGGTTTCCAGCAGCAGGTTCTGGAGATTTTGGAGCAAGTTCCCGAAGCGCACCAGACTCTACTTGCGTCTGCCACCATCCCAAAGGGAACGGAAGAGCTGGCAGCCCGATTGGTTCGTGACCCCATTCGTATTGTCATTGGGGAGAAGAACCAGCCCTGTGCCAACGTGAGGCAGATCCTGCTCTGGGTAGAGGAACCCTCCAAGAAGAAGAAACTATTTGAAATTGTCAACGTAGGTTATAGACTTCAGTGTGTTTTTTTTTAATGACTTAGAGAGGTACATTAAGATGCACTCAGTCTCTTTTGACTCAGCAAGTTGGTACTCACTTATAGTCTCTAAAAACAACGATTTTGGGTGGAGTGTCACTTTAATATCATTTAAAGACTTTCTTTAAGAAGTCAGCAGTTTTCTTTTTGGTGTAACACCAAGTTTAATTGTACACTAGAGAACAAAGAAAGTGCTTTGGTAAGCCAAACATAAAAAGTAGGTTATTATCATAATTTTAGTTTATAGTGGCTTTTTTTTATTTTTTTACTGGATATGCACTGGTACCAGCTTGGTATTTTATTTACTGGCTGTTTGAAGGTGGTAATTCCTTAAGCTCAGAAGACCAGTGTCCTCATGACACCATATTTAGACAGCCATTGCTGCTGCCCTGGTCCCCGTCTGGAGGAAATGGGTGGGCTCTAAGTCATGGCTTCACTCCAGGAATCCCAGCAATGACTTGAACCAATTTACACAGGACAAGACAGGAAAGGTCTGCTTTAGTTTACCCAGTGAAGATCATTGTGCATGTAACATGAGCCACTATAGTCTGAGTCAAAGGAGCTGTTTAGGTGAAGTTATTAATGACTATTATAAGAATAAAGCTACTGTCGCTGAAGAGGGGAAAAGGTTGGATGCATGAGCACTGTGGAATCAGACTGGAATTCTGGGAAACCCCAAGAAAACAACCAAAAGAATCAGAAACTAAAACAGTTGTTTCTTACTACGCTGGGCAGAGAGTAAATTGTTACCATAGTCAGAAAATGTTCACCTAGTTCTGAAAAGAAGCCCTGTTTGAGTATAATGGACAGATACAAACAGCCTCATATTGAGGAACATATATTCTGACTAAAGCTCTGTCCAGGTTTGAGTGACAGGGGATAAACTGTGACTAGCTGAAAGGGAAAACTTGCAATCATCATACTGTGAAGATTGTCATGCTTAACCCCAGGCACTGTAACATCTCCTTGTTAACAGTTCTTAGCTGCAGCAAATCCAAAGACAAGCCTAACAGGTGAATGGGGCCTTTTTCAGGCCTGTCAGCCAACATTAATATGGTACTTTTCAACCACTGCTGTGGAATTGTGACTGCCACCTGCTGGAGGAATTTGAAAATCAGCCTCTTGCCATCTTTCACGTCCTGAAATAATGACTAAGATAGATTTTGCTTTCATGACATAATCCTTACAATAAAATAAAGCCAATACACACATTGGCCTTAACTGCAAATTGAGTTATTGAATTGACTGTATTAACATAGTAATGTTAAAAAAGGGGGAAAATAAAATAACCAAACAGTTTTATTTTCTCACTTCTCAGGACAGTAAGCTGTACCAGCCTCCTGTGGTGGTGTTTGTCGACTGTAAACTGGGAGCTGATTTGCTGTGTGAGGCGGTCGCCAAGGTGACAGGCCTCAACACTGTGGCAATCCACTCTGACAAGAGCCAATGGGAACGCAACCGCATCCTCAGGGTGAGTCCAGCAGCAGCAGGAAAGTAACACGGTCAAGTGAATACAGTACATGGCAGTTCTCTAACCTTGGGTGTCATGTAGTGCAGCTTCTGAACTACGAGTAGCTGGAGGGCTGTAGTCCCAATGAATTAGGAGTTAACAGTTTTTATCAGCGCATTAAATGATTCTTTTAAAAGACTAACTATTGATTGTCAAAGAATATACAGGGAAAAAGGGATGTTTCGGACTCTATCCATTGCCCCGTCCTAAATAAAGGGGAAAAAAGCCTTGAAAATAATCTTTTTATGCTCTATGATGTCACATTTTATCCAATCCCATTGCTTTGAGTTAAAAAGTAGGTCCTTATTTAAGGTTTTTCAGTCTGTTAATGGTTTCGGCGTTGTTAAACACGTTTGACAGTGAAGAACCTGCTTTGTCGTTTCCTCAGGGTCTACTGGATGGAGCCTTTGAAGTGGTGATCAGTACAGGTGTGCTGGGCCGAGGTCTGGACCTGGCCAATGTCAGACTGGTGGTTAACTTTGACATGCCAAACACAATGGATGAATATGTCCATCAGGTTAGTAATACCAAGACTGAGTTTGTTAGTTTATGAGAGCAACGTTTTGTGTAGTTCTCATCATTGTGTATATTCGGCAGTCAGATATTCAGTGATTACAGATTAGTCAGGTTGACACTTTCTAATAATGAAGCCTCATGACTTCTTACTTACTGATACGTTTATTAAGAATGGGGGGGGGTGGGATTGTATACATTTGTGTATGTAAGTAAATATGTTGTACTTTGTCAGCTAAATGAAGATATTCATTGTCTTTAGATGCGTTTTATTGAAAAATAATTTTCCTCTCATCCAGGTGGGCAGAGCGGGTCGGCTGGGACACAGAGGAACAGCAATCACCTTTCTCAACAGCAACAACAAGCGTCTGTTTTTGATGTGGTAAACCGGGTCAAACCCACAGGGTCCATTCTCCCTCCTCAGCTCCTAAACTCTCCCCACCTCCACGAGCAGCAGAGGAGGGAAAAGCAAAGGGCCAAGCAGGGGCCTGATGATGTGCTAGTCACTAAGAACAATCTATTAGACATCATAAGGAAACATGACCGTCGCAAAAAGTAGCCAGTTTTCTCTGAAATGGTGCTGTGTATTTACCAAGAAAGGCTAAATGTCTAGTTTTTATATTTTTTTAATGTAATTTTGATGTATTCTAATTAGATGGCATGTGTTATTATATAAATAAAGTTTATTCTTGTTATTTATCTTAGACTATTTATTCAAATAACAACAGTCCTCTGTAATCTACAGCTTTCAACCCATGGTTCTCCCACTGTGGGACAGTCTTTCCTGCGTTTACTGTTATGTACGTCCAAACTACCTAGGATAATCTTTCGTCTGTGATTTTCTTATGGCTTCAAGATTAGCATTGCCCCTGGATGTCAAGCAAAATCATATTTCTGTGAGTTCATGACTTTTCCCCCCCAAACTGAAACTCATTTAGAGGGAAAGTGTTTTCTGGGTTTTACGACTGTTCACTCTGTCAACTTTTCCAGCAGATGGAGTTTGGGGTACGTGTCTCCGTCTAAACCAGAGTTTGTGTCACCCTTTTTTTTTTTTTTTTGTCTTAACGGAAGAGTGCTATTTTTAGAAAAGGAAAACATGAGTAACTCAATTTTCTTGCACAGGTCACAATCTGGGAGCTGGGAGGTGGTTAAGGATTCTGTGGTGGAATAACCTGTAATATGCTGCCACCTAGCGTCGGTCGCCGGAACTTACAATGATAATGGGCATGTGTTGACGTCACGGAGTACGAAAAAAAACCAGCCAATCAGCTGCTTCTGGTGGTGACGGTTTGAAATTCAGGCGGGGAAAGGCGGAAGAGACGGAGGGCTGGACAAAAATAAAAACAAAAGCAACCCTGATTTTCTGGACACCTCTTTCTTCAATGGATTTATCTTAGCCTTTAACTGAACTATCGAGCTTAACTTATGTCGGTTTAAAAAAAAAATAATAATAATCTCGGCCATTTCGTCGTAGAGCAACCAGAGCGAAATTGCCTTTAACTTAGTTAACACGTAAGTTCATTTTAACTTTTGTTTAATAGCAACCGGCAGCCATGTCGTTATTTTCTGTCCAAGCGAGAAAGCATACTGCTTATTACGATCATTAATAACAACATCGACAGCCAGGACGCCGGGCAGAGGGGACCTGGCAGAGCGGAAGGCGACAGACTCGATGCTGGGCAGAAACGAGAGGACATCCGGGGAATGTGAAGACAGCAGGTCGTCGGATAAAAGCCGACAGGTGAACAGGACTTATGTCGTATCCGCGCTGTCCAAGAGTGGCAGTGGGCCGCAGACACCTCACCGAGGCCGACTCACTCTACAGAGGAGGTCGAGGAGGAGAACCGGGGCTGACCCGGCGGAGAGGACGATGGTTGAAAGCAGCCAGAACACCACGCCGGCCCCAGCAGAGAAGAAGAGACTGACCTTACAGCGCAGGAGGACCCGGACTCCCTCCATGGAGAAGAGCACGCTCCGTCAGCGTGGGGTCAGCGGCACAGGCCTGCAGCAGCAGACGCCCAAAGTGCTCGCTGAACCAAACGGTAGGGCTCCAGGTGTCTTCAGGTCCATGAGTTTAAAAGATACTTCCTGCAGGAGCAAAGGGAAAGACACAGCTACTCAACTGGAAACACAGGGGAGACCGGCGAACAGCAAGACGCCCCTCTCTGTTTCGTCCTTCACAAGCAGGCAGCTGGAAGACCAGGCCCAGTCTTTTATAACCCCCACCAAAAAGACCCCGTTTGAGAAAATCGCCGCCAAGAGAGACGTGTTTGAGAGACTGGCAGCGAAAGAAGCTCCCAAACCAGTAGTTGTCAAACTTCCTAGTCTAGAGAAACCCAAGTCAAGACCACAGCAAGCCGAGGACGTGAAACCTACCCCTGCTCCTCGGGTCAGTAAAGCGTCTACAGGTGTGCTGAAGCCCGGCGTAGCTCAGCAGGTGAGGAAAACCTCCACCTCAAACCAGAGGGGAGACGTGACCCAGGCAAGGACCTCCACACCTGCCCCAGCTCCTGCACCTGCGCCTACCGAGCACACACCGCTCCGAGGCCCCAGTCAGGCCCTGAAGCGGCATGATTCATCCAAGATGGAAAACAGTGCAGTCACTGTTGCTGTCCGTGTACGCCCATTCAATGGCAGGTTAGTAATGCAGTATTTGTCTTGACTGAAAGGTAAATTGTGCTGAAGTAGATCATGTCATTCAGTATTTAATCACTTAATAGATTATGTAAATAATGATAGGTTCAAACTTGATGATGGTTGATAAACATTCCTTGTATATTTGGCTGTAGAGGGCAATACAGCGTTTTCTATAACAACATACTTCTTTTTTTTTTTTCCAACAAAAAGTAATATTTGTCCCTTACAGCTTCTTTGCTTGTTTTTTTTTTTTTTTAATTGTCACATGTGATAGTACACACATGATCTTAATCTTTTGTAGTGTGGTAAAACAGCATGTATATCACATTTGCCATTGAATAAACTGAATGATTGGTAAAATAAATAATAGGCAGATTAATGCCAGTTATTATATTTGCAACCTCAATTATCTGATCTGAAAAAATGTCCAGCAAATACACTCGATGTACCTTTTTTTTTTTTTCTCTTTAAAGGGCTCACATTTATGATGAGATTTCTTTTCTGTCCTTCTCTGACAGTCATTTATGAACTGTTTCTGCTTTTCCTAAGGGAAAAAGAAGAGAAGGCCCTGCAGGTCATCTTCATGAACGGTCAGGAGACTGTTGTCCAGCATCCCTCTCCAAACAGAGCTACTCGTTCACCTATGACTTCTCTTTTTGCTCTGTGGATGAGTGTGAGCCCACCTTTGCCAGCCAGCAGACGGTGTACGAGACACTGGGCAAACCTCTGCTGCTGAGGGCCTTCGAGGGGTTCAACACCTGCCTGTTTGCATACGGACAAACAGGCTCTGGGAAGTCATACACGTGAGTAAATTGGGGATTGGTGTGTCACAGTAAACCGTACCCCGCTGAACCCCTTCCCTTCTTTTTTATTAAAGATTTATTTTTTGGGCTTTTTGTGCCTTTTTTATTATTACTGCTTGGAAGACTACAGCCTCCATATATGGGGCGTGCGCACTAACAACTGCGCTCCAAGGACCCCTTCCCTTCTACTGTGTTTATTTTTTGCTTGTAAATAAAATTTTGGTGTCGTTTTTATCGGGATGTTTAATTATTTTGAATCGTGCTCAATGGGTGCACTTTCAATTTTAAATGTTGAAATGGTTGTTGTTTAGGATGATGGGCTTTGGAGAAGAGGAAGGGGTCATCCCAAGATTCTGCCAGGAGCTTTTTGCAAGATTGACATCATTAGAAAATGAAGAGGTAAGTAGTCCCTCATGAGGTGTTAGATGTTCTTAATTTAATTTGTCTTCTTATATCCTGTGTTGTAGCTAATTTAATGTTAGAAAATATATTATGGCCTTTTTTTTATCTCATAAAGAAAAACATGAATACGTGCATGAACAATCTTTTTTTTGTGGTCACATAATTCATCGAGTGATTCCTTTGGTGTTTATCCTTCAGGTCAAATGTCATGTAGAGATGAGCTTCTTTGAAGTGTACAATGAGAAGATCCATGACCTGCTGGTGACCAGAGATGAGCCAAACCAGAGGACAATGCCTGTATGTACTTTCCTTTACACAATCCCTGAACCTTTCAAGATTTGAATGAAAAAAAATACATCTGCTAAAACTGGTTGTTTCATTTTCAAATAAATCAGCCTTTAAGAGAACAGAGTAAATCTTGAATTTAAGATACAGTTAAATATCTCCTGATAATTACACTTTTTTTTTTTAGAGATATCCTTTTGCTCATAATGACATGAAAACATTTTTTATGGTCAATGTTGAGAATATCTGTAGTCAAGAAAACCCGTTTCACTTCCAGCTGAAGGTGAGGGAACATCCCGTCCATGGCCCCTACGTTGCTGACCTCTCTGCGTGAGATTTATTTTTTTAATGTCTTTTGCAATATTGCCTCTGAATCACGGTTAAAAACACATTCATAAATGATGCTTTGCAGAATTGTTCACTTTATTTTCTTTTTCAGAAACATTGTGAGCTCTTACAACGACGTTCAGGTAGGTGGAAAGTAAACTACTATGAAGATGAATTTTTCTTTTAGATCGTTGACCTTCCTTTAGTGGTAACTTTTAGCAAGTAAGTCAGGGTAAAGTGTGAATTTGACTTTGTGACTACCGTGTGTAAGACAGAAAACAAGGTTTGGTCCTGAATGTGTAGTCACTGTAGAATATTCTAGATACTCAGCACCAGTATCCTCAGAGTACAGCATAGAGAACTACATTGCTACTGATACCCACTAGATGTTTCACATTGAGAGATTAAGTTGTGTTTTTCTGTCCTTCAGGGTTGGCTGAAGCTGGGCAACAAGCAGAGAGCAACAGCAGCTACAGGAATGAACGACAAGAGCTCCAGATCTCACTCTGTCTTCACCCTGGTTATGACCCAGACGCAGGTATTTTCTTGATGCGTGTTTTCTAAAACGCTGAGATAAACCACAATAATGTTTTGGAGATCACCCGTTTATGTCACACATGTAATCCGTTGTCCCGTGTGTGACGGTGTACAGACTGAATTTGTGGAGGGTGAGGAGCACGACCACAGCATCACCAGCAGGATCAACCTTGTGGATCTGGCAGGCAGTGAACGCTGTAACTCTGCCCAGACGAGTGGAGACAGACTCAGGGTATACACATGCACACATCCTCTTATTCTTGGTTATCATGCTCAAATATCAGAGTCATTTTTTGTGAGGAGGAGCAGTTTTTGTCGCTGTTTTGTAAACGAGCAGCGGGGTTTTCAAATCTGCTGCCAGCAGTAACTGTGAGCTGGCGGGGTGACATTTGCTGTTTTGGATTGACCAATTATATATTGTCAATTAAGTCTCTGGTGACAAACTGCTCACTGCCTGAACAGCCTTTGTTTACATTTTCCATGGCAAAGGAAACATTTGACTGTTGACATTCTTCTCATCAGAAATCACTTCTTACTGATGTACAGGACAGGATAAGCAAAGAGATAAGATGTGCCTCTTTTGGTTTGCCATAGAAAAAAAAAAATGACTCCTCACAGTAGCTTTGAACTGAGATGTGGAAAATATCTTTATGTAATCGTGTCTACTAGCTCATTATTTGATCTGGTGTTTATGTAGCTTTTCATTAAACACACCATTGTTATTCCAAACAAGAAATGCATCTTACACTGTGTCTTTCTAGGAGGGTGCTAGCATCAACAAATCCCTGCTTACCCTGGGAAAGGTCATCTCTGCCCTGTCAGAACAAGCACTGACCAGAAAGAAGGTCTTCATACCGTACAGAGAGTCTGTCCTAACATGGTGAGACATCAAGGGTGATTGTACACTGAATCTGTTGTAGAACACATTGTCTAGTATTGTTACTTATATTTACAAGTGTGTTTTATGAGATACATAGTTGCTTGTACTATACTGGAGTTGTATTTTATGACAGACAAATATGGGGGGCTTATAGAACAAACAAAAAAAAAAAAACTGTTTCCGACGGTAGATGTGCAGATATTTTCCAAGATAAAAGGATGATCCTGAACAACTCTATTTATTTCCTCTCTGCAGGCTGTTGAAAGAGAGCCTCGGTGGTAACTCAAGACAGCCATGATTGCTACACTGAGTCCAGCGGGCAGTAATGTGGAGGAAAGCCTCAGTACTCTGCGCTATGCCCAGCAAGCCCGCACCATCATTAACGTGGCGAAGGTCAACGAGGACACCAATGCCAAACTGATCAGAGGTCAGACACTCAACATGTCAACGTTCAAATCATTCTGTTGGATTTAATTAAGCTTTGGCCTATATTTGTCTTTTCTTTTCAAAAGGTTTGAGCATGCATCCCCCAATAGCTGCGTTACAAGTGTGTTTCTCACACACACACACACACACACACACACACTACCCATGCACTTTCTGTAGAAGCTGCCAGAAAAGTGAGGGAAATAAAAGCAGAGCAGGAGTAATAAGTTACCCGGGGGTCTCCTTTTTTATAGACGCTGCGTGCACACAAAACAGGGCCTGATACTGGCCTACACTGCTTCCCACACAAATCTGTAAAAACAAACTTGACGGGGAAAATGTGTGAGCTAATATGCAACCTCTGACCCAATATGAGGTTGATCCACGTGCGTACATTTCCAGATGGATCATGATTTGTGAAGGGAACATTGTGTGCAGGTGTACGTACGTGTAGTTTTATAATTCTGAACTATTTTTGGCGCACACCATTTTAGGGTTTTTTTGACACGAGTACAATCTTAGTATGGATTGTGCACACTGTTTCATAGATGAGATCCCTGTTTATCTTTTGAAAAACAAATCTAAAATAGATATTGTGCTCATGACTTTTAAAGCAGCACATGATGTTCGCATGTCCTTTGTGAACATAAACATCTGCTATCCGACACTAAAATGAGCAGCAATCTGGGAACCGTTCTGCAATTATCGGCGATCGCGACGATCGATACTCAATGTTAGAATGCCATAGAAGGAAGCCAGTATATCATGAGTGTGGAAACGGTCCGTCTGTTTTTTGCTGTCCACACGGACTGTTTTTCCTGCATACACCAAAGCCTGCTCATATGTAATTGATCAATACAGCTACAAATGTGCTACAAACAGAAACAGAACACTTTTTCATTTTGAAAATCCAAATCCCTGTGTTAACCCCTGTGGCTAATTTCTTGAGTAAAACTGAAGAAGTCTCTTCTTTTTTTTTTTTTTTTATAAAGTAGTGTTTTAGTGACTTTTCTGTCTTCTCAGGTGTAAAGAGGAACTGTGAACTGAAATTTACTCACTTTATAAAATCATGCTTTCAAGACACTGAGAATCATTTCCATCATCTCTTTATCCCACATACTTTTATTCCAACACAAATCCTCATTTGGACTGTTACTACGCTGTCTCAGTTGTGTCTTTTCATTTGCACCATCTTCATCTTGCTCTTTGTGTCTTTTTTTTTTTTTTGCATGTCTGTCTTTCTATTTGAGTCCTGCTCTTGATCTCCTTTGCTCTCCTTCTCGCCCCGCATATCCTTCTGTCTGCCCATCTATCCATCACCACAATTTTCACTACCCTGTTCAATTAAGGCCAGGCCCTAACCTTGCCTCCAGGCCATATTTATGCACTGTCAGCTGCACATGGCGGCTAACTGTCATGCAAGTATTATTTTTCATGAGATGATTGTGCTGCTATTTGATGTTTTTAGCAGTAAGGGGAGCTCTTGCCGTGGATTTCTCCTCACATCACCTGTCAGTGCTTGATGCTAAAGTGAATATGACTGAAACATTACAAATCAGGCCAATGTTTTTTAGTCAATCATTATTAAGAAATGACATACAGGGCAGGTTAGTGGTAAGTGGTAGTTAGCTCTATATGGCTTCCTGAATTTACACATTGAAAGAGTTCTTTATTTTTACCCGAACAGTTACCTTTTTGTATTTAAAGCTAAACAGCCCTCTTTATGTGTTTTCAGAGTTGAAGGCTGAGGTGGAGAAGCTGCGAGCCGCCCAGATGAGCTCCAAGGGCGTCGAACCAGAGAGGGTCAGGCTGTTTGAGCAGGAGATCACCGCCCTGAGGAACAGACTCTGTCAGCAAGAAAGAGAAATGGTCGAGGCTAACCGGTTAGTACAACAGCAATGACTTTATCAAATATCTCAACAGACCCAAATATCATACTTAATAGTCCCTGCTTTTGAGGGCGTTGAAGTGAAAGCTGTTGCAGATTTTCACAGTTTAGAGAAACCCTTGTAGCAAAGCCATCCTTCATGTTATTAGGTTATTAGTTTTAATCTGGGTGTGGGGATTGTTTAATATGGTAAATAAAGTGAAAATCCAATAGTCATGATATTTCCCATACTCAAACTGTTAAAGACTAAAACATTAAAGAGGATCGTGACAGATTTAAAAAAAAGAATGTTAGTTAAATGTCTGGTTATTATTTCTCCTCTCTGGCAGGGCATGGAGAGAGAAGCTGGAACAAGCTGAAATCCGAAAACGTGAGGAGACCAAAGAGTTGCAAGTAAGTTTTCTTTTCTTGTCTTTTTTGTGGCATATCACAATTTCCATCCTGTTTCCCCCCCTTGCTACATGGAGAACTTACAGAGCAAACGTCTTTACTGCGCTGACTCTTGACAGTCACTTTTTTTTTTTTTATTCCCCTGTGATTTCAGAAAGCAGCTGTTTCATTCAAAGTGGACAATCGCCTGCCTAACCTGGTGAACCTGAACGAGGATCCTCAGCTGTCTGAGATGCTTCTCTACATGATCAAAGAGGGTCGAACCACAGTGGGCAAGCCCAGGTCTGAGTCCAGCCATGACATCCAGCTGACGGGAGCTCTCATCGCTGACCAACACTGGTAAAAAGAAAATTACTGGAGGGGTTTTCAAAATTGTAGTATTTTGTAAAGATAGTTCATAGTTGGTGGTCTGTTTGCATTTTTGAATGCATACTTCTTTAACAGCACTGCAGTCGTGTGTAGCTTCAGTGCTTGATTGATACTGACATTTTGTTTTTTAACTTGTAATGATTTGAGGAACAATATGGTGTTTAATTAGTTTCTCTCTTTTTAGCTACTGCTGATATTCAACATGGAAAAACTATAATATATATATATGTGTGTGTGTATCTTTGCTTTGTTTTAGTGTTATAAACAACATCCAGGGTACTGTCAGCATCACACCAATGGAAAATGCTAAAACCTTTGTGAACGGAAACCTTGTATCTGAATCGACCGTGCTACACCATGTAAGTAGATGACATAGGTCCCTCACATGTCCCAAGTTTTACATCAATTTAAGAGTAATTTAAGCCCCTCAATCATGTGAACTCCTGACATTATCCTGACCTGCCCATCACATGTCCCTCTCAGCGGGGAAACCATCTGTGTTGAGCGTGCTGTCACAGCTCACTTGATAAATATAGGTGAGGGGGGGGGGGCTGGGTAAAACTGGCAGGAGAGAAATTGTAGAACCATAATCCTGGCATTTGAGGAGAGCATTAAAAGAGAGCAGCAAACACCCCACCCTCTGCTCACTGTGACTGTTCCAGACTAATGTATAACATGGTGTGTACACACATCAGCCCACCCCAACTTTACTTCTTTTTTTTTTTTTTTTGCACAGACTTTTTTCTTAAATGTGAAGGGCTGGAAAAGGCAAAATAAAGCAGAGATGAACAGATTTGTTTATTTTTGCAAGTGCACCTCACATGTTTTTTTTTTGTTTTTTTTAAATGAGTGCAGCACATGTATAAAAGGGGTTTCATTGAATGAAGATTTAAGATTTCTTTGTACTGATCCTATACTAATCAAACCAACTAAACAACCCTTTTTTGTTGTTGATGAATTGAAATGAACTCTGCTTATCTCTGTGGTTACGGTTTCTAGGGTGACAGGGTGATTCTTGGTGGGGACCACTACTTCCGCTTCAACCACCCTACAGAGGTGCAGTCTGGGAAGCGGGTTTCATGCTGGACAGGCGCAGGCGATGGTCACAAAGACTTTGAATTTGCCAAAAATGAGCTGCTTGCAGCTCAAAGAGTTCAGTGAGTACAATAAGTTATGTAATTATAGCTGATAATGACCATACCAGCATTCCTCTTAGAGACATGACGGACCATTCTTAAGCGGTCTTTGTTTTTTTCCTAGGCTGGAGGCAGAAATCGAAGAAGCCAATTTGAAGGCGAAAGAGGAGATGATGCAGGGAATCCAGATGGCGAAAGAAGTGGCCCAAAAGGAGCTCCATGACCAGAAGGCGCTTTATGAAGGAAGGATCCGAACCCTGGAGAGAGAGCTGGTACACAAAACTTTTACCTCTTGTCTTTTTTAACCCACGGTTAAAATATGTTGAATCCTTTATGTAGCCTTCATCCTCTCAATATAACATACACAGTTTTTGATACAACTTTATCAGAATGGGGAGAATGAGCGGAAGCGTCAGCAGGAGTTGGACCAGCAAAGGGTTGCCAGCCAAGTGGCAGAGCTGAAGATGGCCAAGCTGGAGCTCGAGCATGAGGTGGACACCCACAAGACACGCCTCCGCCTGCACATGGAGGCCCAGGTCAGGACCTAGAGCAACACCTTTATGTAGTTTTATGTATATTGAAACTGCTAAAATTAATGGGTTTTTTTTTTCCCCCTGGAAGGAACCGTGTACCTTAAGACCACAAGGTCAGCAGTCAGAGTTACTGGGTCGTTGGTGGTAGCCCAGAGAAGAGAGTTATGACTTTTTAAGTAGATCCATCTTCATTCAGCATTTTAAATTTTTTTATTTTGAGATATACATGTTAGTCTACTAGAAATCTGGATTATCCCTGTAACTGTAAATGACACCATCTCCTCCATTTGCTCATCTTCATGGTTTCTGATGATCTTAAATGAGCTTGAGAAGCTCAGTGAAATATGCTGATGCTGGTTTTTATGTTTATCTGATGGGCCATTAGGGATTTGCTGTGAGCCATGGTAAAGCTTGGCTTCAGGCTCAATGTTTTGGCCTGCTGGTTTTTAATACTGTGTACATTACTATGATTCACTCCAGGCAATGGAAGAACACCGTGTGCGTCAAGCAAGGATTGTTGAGGCCCTGGAGGCGGAGAAGAGGAAGATCAGCAGGGAGCTTGAGGAGATGCAGAAGAAAAGAGCCTTAAGGGAAAATCACACTCACAGAAACGGTGAGAGCTTTCAAGTGACTATTGAGAACACATTGAAGTCAGGAACCACATTAACTGTTCACACCATGTAAGGGGAGTTCCAGATGGGTGTGGTTTACACTTTTCAGCCAGACACATTAGAGGAGAGACGGCGTGCCAGGTCCTCAGATAAACAGTGAACTAAACTTGAGTTTGAAAGGAGCAGAAAAGAAGGCAGAGAGGCCAAACTTGCATATCTACACGAGTAATTGGTTGTGAAGCATAATTCAACTCTATATCTTTATGGATGAGGATCATTCTACAGCTAAATGATATCATGTGATAGTTGAAGTCTTCGTTCATTGTATAATGATGTATTACCGGTAAATCAAATGAGTATCTTGAATGGCACCAGACATTGAAATGTATCCTGCCCCCCCCCCCCTTAACTCTTCTCCTGTACATACATGTTCGTGTAATACCTTACACAAGTAGCTCACTCGAGTCAAGGATTTCTTCTATCTTCTCAGCCACGTTTACTGATGTCTTTGTCACACAGCTCGACTATTTAGTGTTGTCATAATGGAGGCAGGCATCCTGCTGCCTCGTCAGCAGCTTAATGGCAGTAATAAAGCCAAGTCGGTAACGTAATGTGATATGTGCTCAAGCAGAAGAACCAACCTTTTTCAGCAGTATAAAGAGATTTTCTTTCACAGACTTCCTGACATCTGAACAGGCTTTTAATAACGTCTTGAATACTAAAGATACACTTAGATACTGTAATGGAAGCTGTTACACTTCTCTAACAGTTTGCAGGCTTAAATCCTTCCTTCCATTACTTTCAAAGCTGCCTGAAATGACCCAGGACCGCTGGCTGGCTGGGTTAATTGTCATGTGTTTTTAATTCTCTATTGCAGTCACTCCGCAGTGGGATGCCATGAAGTTGTCCCTGATGATTGAGGAAGCCAACAAGATCAGCGCTAAGATGAAGAAAAAAACAGTCTTTAGCAGGTATAAAAGGACAATACATATAGTATGTTGTATTTGAAAGGTTAAACACGTATAATGACTAAATAAACGTATTGAGGTGTCACTTAAGTTTCTAAATACAGCAGGTATCATCTTTGTATGATAATCATTAATTCTCTGCTCTGTTGTAGACACGAAAGCTCTGCTGATGGAAACCAGGAGAACGGGGGTCTGCTGCAGGTGCGGGTTCAAAACACAAAGCTGGGGATCTCAACGTTCTGGAGCCTGGACAAGTTTCAAAACAACATGGCTGCCATGAGGGAATTCGAGCAGGTATGCCCCCCCAACACATTCTACCTTTCTAATAATCACTTTTTTGAGTGAATTATTATTTTAATAGAATATATGGACAAAATGGAGCAGAGTCCTAGTATAGAAAGTGCCTGAACTTGTATGATGATGGTACAATGATAATAAAAAAAAAAACAGACACTGCATGCAGACAGTCAGTGGATAGAGCTCTGACATCAGAAGACGGTAAGTGTATGGTTTAACAGGTGATGTTGACATTAAAACTACATGGACTTGTCAGAGTGTTTTGGGGAGTAATGGGGCTTTTTTTAAACTTTTTGAAAATTAGTTTAATATGTGACCTTTAAGTTATGTGACAGGATTTAATTACCTCATGAATACAACAAATTGTCAAATATCACTTTTCTACCCTATACCCACTCAGCTAGTCAGTTCACACATGTTAAAGGCAGTGTTCTCAGTTTTAGCCTTGAATAAAACTGCAGTTAGTGCAGTTTGACTTTTCAGTGCAGCACTGTCCAGGGTGTTTCCAGGCCTTTATGCCAATTGTATTAGCTCATCTTGTGCTACATCTGATCCTTACATAACATACGAGAAACGGAGGATAAATGCTTGTTTAAATGTGTTTATGTTTGGTACTTTGATTGGATATTGTGTGTTGGGGGAAAAAAAGCAATTAGCAATGCAACACAATTACACACTCAAGGATCTCATGATGGATAATTCACAATAAGTAGATCAATACATGACCACGCTGATAAGCTCACAGCGGGATGTAAAAAATCTTGGATCATTTTAAGGTGGCTTGTGCATTCATGCTTGGCTGATTTAGAGAGCACTCAGTCTAATAAGTGAATGTATGATGTGCGTCGGAATAAAGCGCATTCAACAAGCCAGCCTGTCTGTTCCTCATTCTGCATATTCAGAGCCTGACATCACCTCAAGTGCATTTGCCAATTTCCCAGCCATCTGCCATTATTTACAGTCTGGAATGGGTTGTTTTAATGCTTGACAGAGGCGCACTGCCTGAATTTGCTGTGCTTTTCTCATTAAGTTCAGTAAATAAGAGCGGTCATGTCAGCAGTAGTTTCCTCTCTGCAGGGGGATCCCACCTCTAAAGATGACGATGTGTTCTATGACCCTGATGATGAGTGGGAGCAAGATATATCGGCCTCCTCTTCTGCCACCTCCTCCTTCTCGCGCCGAAGGTAATTATCCAGCCCTTCCTCCATCCTCCCTATCCATCAGTCCCTCTTTGAAGTACCTGACACTCATGTTGGGTTTCAGGGGACTTAATTGGTATTCTTGTTCAATTACTTGAAATGTGTACGCAGGCAAGTGTTCAGAAAAAACACCCACAGAGTGATTGTGTAGGTCTTAAACCTGCCGCCCTTGTTCTGAACTGAACTCCCTGGCTTTTTTTTTTTTTTCTCTAGTCCTTTTTTAATGTGAACAATATGTCAGGCCATGGGTTGTATATGGAAAGTTGAAAGGTATCTGCATGTAACATGGAAAATCAACATTTTGGAAGATTTGGGTTATTTTCACAAAGTCCTTCTAGTTTCCACCAATGTGATTTACAACGTGGCACATATTTTTGACATTCAACACAACCTTCTTTCTCGCATGAAAAGTTTCTGCCCACAGAATATTTCCCGTTTATTCTTTTTCCTCTGTTTATTAATTTTATTTCCATGAATGCCATGGACTAAAATGTTTAGTCCATGAAAGGGCAATAAAGGTGTCTGTGTTTTTCACTCTTCAACCCACAACCCAAACACACACTCACAAACACAGCGACTATGTTACATGCAGAACTCCACACATTTTCCCTTCACACTATTACTATTCTTGTCGAGCATGTTAATGGTGCTCGTTGCTCCCTGGACTACCAGCAGACCCAGCCAAATGCAACATGGCACAGGCTCTGTGGTTCCTTCATCCCTTCTCACTCTGTCTCCATTAAAGCCATGTCCAGGCCTCATGGCCACAATCAGAGTTCTCTACTGACCTCCCTCCTCCAGGTCGTCCATAGTAATGGAAATGTATCTGGCTGAACTTACTTAACCCCTTAATTTAAGGAGTGAGTTATGCATCTTTGCAAAATTACTTAAAAGAACATTATGTAACCATGCCCAGAGATGGTTCAAGAGGCACTGCCACCATCAAAAGGGATAAACATTGTGTGTTCAAATGTGCCATAACTTCATCAAATGGATAAAACTACACATCTAGGAAGGAAATCCTCACACATGAATAATAACAGCCAGTACAAAGTAAAGCTGTCAGCTGTGGTTCTTTTTTCTAAATACACACAGAGACAATAGACTCAGAGATATGTGGACTTGAAATATCATGCCTAATAAATGTGAATATAAAAGTACAGCATTCTATTGCTGCTCGGGAATTTACTTGATCTCCATTTTCAACTTTCTCAATCCAATAAAACAACACCCAAAATTCAATCTTATAAGAATTCCAACATGTTTGACACCAGGAGCAGGAGCTTGTTGAAGAGCAGGAGAATCTCAGGGCGTCTCTACGAGATCCGGGTCCATCCAATACAGAGCCTCCACAACAGCTCCTCACAGTCTGCTGGTAAGGCAAAGACATATGGTTCTTGGAAAATATGTATAATGTTTGCATATAATGTTTTGTTTTATATTCAAATGTTGGGTAAACAAACATTAGAATTTTTACTGTTTAAGAATGAAGTCTTCATGCTCAACACATCCCAAACTCCCCCACTGTCTCTGTCTCAGGCTTGATGGGCGTGGTCAAACCGCCTTCCACCCATTCTAGCAGCACTGATTTTTCCATGCCTGGCATCTGCAAGGAGCTGATTGGCCAGTCAGTGGCCCGTTTGCGTGGTTGTAGCGGGACAGAAGAGAGCATGGCCGACAGGTTGGCCTCTGATCTTCACATGGTTTACATGGCGATCCAGACCATATCTGACTTGTACAACGGCCTGGAAGATGACAGCCAGGAGAACGGTGAGGTTCACCCTAAAAATTTATCTCTAATGTGTTTGCAGAGGAGTAAGCTAATGAGAATAAGAGGAGTTTATGATTATGTTTATTATACAATTTGTGAATATTAAAAGTGGGTAGTTATCAGTAGTTATCTTTGGACATTAAAAAGATAGAAACATTCATCTTTAATAGTTCTTTCTCACAATGAACACTGTTTTTTTTTCTATATTTATGGCATGAGGTAGCAGTTGGATTATTTAAAGATACAAAAAAAGAAATTCAATATTTTAAACGCCCAGCATTAATTTCCTCTTTCTCTTCTTCTTACCTTTCAGTGTTTGTATGGAACTTGGCGGCCCAGACTCAGCTGGTCAAAGCCACCACAGCCATCGAGAGTGCAGTGTTTGTTACCATGCAGTGGTTGGCCAGCATTAAACCCTCCTCTGGCCTGCTCTGCTCCATTGCTGAAGATCTCAAGAGCCATGTCAAGAAGATGGGAGGATTCTTCCAGCTGTTCATTCAGGTACACACAATTATTGCACCACATGGAAGACCATGCAGGGACATTTGATTGTGCTTTTCTCGGCATTTGCGTGATATTAAGTAACTTAACGAGTGAAGAATCTGACCTGAATGACTTGACTAGGTGTAATTCGGACAGAGGTGTCTAATCAAAATGCACAGCATTAATTGACGTGTCTTAGCTCTGAGCTGTTTGAGCTCTGTCTATGGAAATGACCAAGCAGAGGGAATTCTTAACCTTGAGCCCCAAACAGAACATGAATATATGGAAAATAAATCTAAATTCCTTACCAGCCTCAGCACGTAAACACACAATTTTCCTCTCTGACTCCACATTTCTGAACTTTCCTTCACATTTCCATTTATTAACTGACCCTTCAGACTTATCTTGACCGTTTTGTTTGCTGGCTTGCATTGATTTACTCTTAAATCAATTTTAATTCCGCCTGTTTGTTTGTGCTGAATCAATCTTGACAGAAAATGAACATTTTCTCCCCATCCAGGGGTGTGAATCTGAGATCACATCGATGGTGACAGAGGCACAGAAGAAGAGCAGCCAGTGTTTGGATGCAGCATTGCTCGCACTTGGCCACCTGGCGGCAATGACAGGCATGCCGCTGAATGCCGTGGAGAAGGCTGCACAAGCCACAGGCAAGGTAACGCCAGCATTAATACAGCAGCAGCTACCTTCTCTGCAAAGCTCTGGGGTCCAATGTAATCAAGCCCCCACTCCACAATACTGAAGAATTAGCTGAGTGGATCTCAGAGCAGGGAACATATTACAGGGTTGTAAGTTATTGAGCTGAATGAGGACAAGCTTGTTTGAATTGAGGAGCAAATGAAATGGTATCTCATATCACGCGACGTAAATTAGAGATACACCGATTGCAATTTCTTTCAGATTTCCAATTTTTGTCAACGTCTGCCGATTCAGATTCTTTCCTTTAAGAACTTTAATTGACAGCAAAAAAAAAACACGTAACTTTTCTTCAATGAAAATCTCATTCAATGTTCCTCATAAACATCAGACCGAAAAAAAACAAAAAATCTTATACCATATAACACAGTATTGATGGGTTCTCTATGAAATGTTTTCAAAGGGTGAAAATGTACAAACCACTGGCCTGATGACAGCAAATGATTAAAGGCTGACAGGTTTGATTTTTTTGATGTTGACATCTGGCCTGAACGGTTTTGCTAGGATCTCCTGCTGTGTGTAAAATGGACTTTTCTTTGATGACAACTGTTAGCGATATATCTCTCTCTAGTGTACCGGTAAATAAAAGTTATGTACAGTAAGTTGTTGTTGTATTTGGAAGAGAAACATATACTTAAAATGTGTTGTATGGTAACATGTGATTCCATTTCCTCAGAAATCCATTGTAATGTGTCTGCTAAAGGGGACCAATAAGGGTGTCAACTCACTTTTAGAGGAGAGCCTCACTATCACCAGAGAAATGCTCAGGGAGGCTCAGCTGGCTTATCCCAGGAACCAAGTAAGACATCATTACCCGGCTGTATCATTGTTTTGCAGGGGAATTGTTTTGTTTTCATACAGTAACAAGCATGATTATTTAATACATTTGATCTGAATGTAATTCACTTTTTGTAATGTTGTATGTAAACATTGTTATAATTCATCTCTGCTCTCAGGTCCTGCAGAGCCTTAAATCCAAGATGCTTGATTTAGCACGTGCTATGCAGAACTTCATGCATATCCATATCACGGTGAGTTTCATCAGCACAGCCATTTACAAACTAGAAGTTAAAGTAACGCACTTAAACTGCTAAACATTTTTTACTTTCTGCACCTTTTTTTTGAAGTTTTATCTTGTTTTTGTAAGCCAGATCTTGATATTTGAAATGACATTTGTCTAAATTCACCCCTCCACAAACAACATCAGCAACTCAATAGAACTCCCCTCCCATACCTCTCCTTATTTACTTCCTGGTGCCAGCATTCGATTCTTAACCGCAATGAATTATGTAAATAATTTAACTGTGAACTACTATTTTACATTTTTTTGCTTTATTGATTTTGTTGTGGCTTTGAGTTGTTCATTAAAAAAGTAGTTACACTGTGGAAAATGGTGAACGGATGAATCCAGAATATGAAGAAAAATAATTTAGTTTGTCTAAATCTGTTTTGTTTTTTATGTTAAGATAAAAAAACAATATCAATATAGAGATTTAAAATGGTATATTTGAAGAAGGGGATTAGTTGCTTAAGCTATCTGGTATCAGCAGCTTCATTTCAAAAACTGCTGGTTCTTGTCTGGGTAAACTGTGGCTGAAAGACAGAATGCATGCTCAGCAAAGCTTCCCTGGATATGTAAAGGTTCAAAACAATCTTCTATCTTGACACAGGCTAAAATGTTACAGATTAATACCCACACCCACAGCCGCCCCGTTAAAGATGCCACTCAGCCTTTATTGCTCGAGTAAAGCTCAATGCTGTGTGGGCTTATCTCTCTGCAGTCGTCCCTGGACGATCGTTCAAGTAATGAATGTGTTGAATGAAGTAGCATCAGTCACAGCTAACGGGCTTGTTTGCCGTTATCTTAGCCACACAAACTAGCAGTTTTTTTTGTTGAAGCCGATCATTGACACATATAGGGGCTCGCGCATTTTGTTGCTCACAATGTTATTATCGTCAAATAAAGCTGAGTTATCACCTGAGGAAGCTGCACATGTGCAAGATCTTGGATGTAAATGCATCTGTGAATTTAAACTGTGGTAGACATTGCCATTCATTGAACAAAGCAATGGTAAAACGGTTGCAACAAAGGTTTGTGGTTTTTTTTTTTTTTAGAAATGGATTAGTCTTTGAAAAGTTGGTTTCATCCGCTTTATCAATGAGTTATGGAATTGACATCACAATAAATGGCTCTGATAGTACAGTTTGTACTTAAACATGACAATCAAAACATAAACACATGGATTTGTATTTGCAGGTATTGAGTAAGTTAAATGTAGGGAAAAATAGCATGAGTCTAGGACTGTGTGTACAAGTACAAATAAATGGCACAGGAAATCAACATTTCCCGCTAGGCAGTAGTAAACTGGGAAGGAGGCCATTAGGTTTATGTCATAGGAAAGGACACATGGGAGCCACTTTCAGTCAATGACATCATTTGCAAATGTTTTTGTGTTTTTGAGTCCCTGTGTGTTTGCATGCAGTCATCTGTGTGACTTTTGAAATGGGTTCAATAGAGTTTCAACTGAAAAGTAAAAGATCCCTGGTTAATGTATCAATCCAGTTGGGAAAATGTAGCTGGGGAGTATTGAGATGATTTGTTGACTAATACTCTGCTGTCAGAGCTGCTCAGTGGTTTGAGCAGTGTTGTGTTATTTGTACTTTGCTCTATGGTGTGTCTGTGTGTGTGTGTGTGGTCGATGTCATCGCTGGCTGTATTGCATCAAGTGCTATTTATTTGTTGAGTTGTGTATTCATGTTTTGGGTGTGTACATGTTTTCAATCAGGAGAGGCAGACTGACCCAGCAGAGTGGGAGGAGGAGGCCTCAGCCTCCCATTTGCAGAGTCTGACAACTACAGCGACAAAGCTGTTCCAGCTGAACCAGGCCATGAGACAGCTGCATTCCTCTGTGTCTTCAACACTACAAGGTAAAGCTTCTGATAATGACACAGCTGGGAGGTTTAGCTAAAATCAAGCATATCTTCTAGAACAGCAACTAAATTGCTCGTCTTGTAAAAAGCATAAACAAAAATCATTATCAGAATTGTTCTAGCTTTTTTTTCTTTGATATTTTAAATTTTATCAGATGTTTTTTAGGTTTAAGAGCAGTTTTACCTGTGTCAAAGCTTTAAAATATGTATTAAATGGTGTACATTTCTCAGTTTAGTCCCTCAAAAAAACGATCCGCCTGCCCGTCTGTCTGTCTTCTGGTCTGCCTGTATGTTGCTCTTAAACGTTTGTTGTTTTTATGAAGCAAAACCAACAATTTTGAGTAGAATCTTGATTGTCAGTTAGCCAGAAAATGCTGGCAGCTTGGGCAAAACCACCCTCAGCCAAATCAACAAGATTCTTGTTGTCACATCCCCTATCTGATTGTCACCCTCCTTTCAGGAAAAGACAGAGTCTCCAATCTCAGCAGCTGCAGAGAGCTGATCTCTTCCTCTGCCAAGGCTGTGGATGAGCTGGTCACTGATCTATCCAAGGAGGGGGCATTGGCGCTTGCCTTGCAGCTTCCCTGTCTTGAGAGCGTCATCGCCACACGAGACGAACTCCTCTCTGCCCTGCAGTCTCTGTCCTCGTCCTGGAACCAACACGGGGCAGGGGAACGAAGAAACTCGGCTACTTCAGATAAGAGCCTAGAAGACGAAAGCATATCCAAAGACAGTGCTGCCACTCACAGGGCTGTTAAAAACCGAGTCATTAGTAAGGTCGTGTACGCCCTCCCTTCAGGTGTAACGTTTAAAGGCAGCGCTAACTGGGTGTGACTTTTATTTATATAATATTATTGTGTGATGTGCTCACATTGTGTACAATTTACTGTAAAAATTTACCGGTGACACCGAAAAACTTTGAGGTAACACTTCTTCTAGTAATAACAAGTTTGCCGTAAATAAGACAGACGTATAAAGGAGAGTGTTGCCAACCAGGTTGATTAAAAAAAAAAACACATTCACAACCATCACTGCTTTTACAATATAAAATATATATGGGTTATAAAAAGCCATGTTGTCAAAAATGAACTGCAGGTTTTTTCCAAGTCTAGTATGAATCGGCTTCGAGCTATGAGGTTTTTTTGGATACATGTGGGGTATAGGAGGATGTAAGGATGATGTTCACTTATCATGTACCAGGCTGTCTCTGTTGTACTTTACATTTCAGAGGATAATACATTTTCCTTTGTTTGGTTTTATTAATTAAATAATTTAAGATTTCTATATAAAGCAACTCAGGTAGGAGTATGGAAAAAAATGATGTAGAGCTTCCTTCTCATTCTCTGCTGTATATGACTTCTCTCTTGTGAAAAGGCTTTTTTTTTCTCATTCACAAAGTTTTTTTTTTTGTTTTTTTTTAAATGTATGTATAACACTCGCTGCTTCTATTTGCACTCAGAGGAAACATATGCTGTGTTTCTTCAAAAATATATGTCCTTTTAACAAAGCATTTTTTAATGTATTTTAAGTCTTTTGTTTCCTTTAGTAGATGGTCAAAAAATGTAGCAAACTTCACCTCTGCAATAAATGAATGTGTCTTCATTTAACAAGGACCTAAACGTTTTCATATTGCATCATATATATATATATATATATATATATATATATTTCTCCCTTGGAATTCACATCAAGTAAGATATAATTTCTCTGTTTTATGCACAAAACGTTTACATTAAAAAAAAAATCTAATGTGTTATAATTTATTATGACAGATGGATTTAAAGAAGTTACATTTGATCTTTTTAAAGATTTATTTCTAGGATTTACTGACTTATGTCTTCTGAAACCTGGGAGAGAGTGGGGAACAAAATTTGGGAAATTAGCCACAGATCGGATATGAACCCAGGCCGCCTGCTTTGTTGGACTGCATCCTCTGTACATTGGATGCTCCAACAAACCAGTGTTCTACCTGCACCCCTAAATAAGTTGAATTGTGGAGGTAACTGTTGTATTGCTATTCTAGGGAAGTTTGGAAGTTAACTCGAGCTGTACAATCTGTATTGTCACAAGCTCCTTTTGATAAACTTCAGGCTACATCCATTGATTTATTTCACATCATTTTGAGTATTGCAATATTATTCAACTCTTCAGCTTGATTGGACCCTGGAACACACTCAAGGGCCTCTGGAGGTCCATGAACCCTACTTTTGTTAACCCTCTTCTACTGTATTCTCGCAGCAGGTTACACCCACTCCTTCATGAAGCCTCCTCTGCATCCTCCCTTCATGCTGTCAAGAGCCAGCTAGGAGGATTCGTCTTTACTCTGGTGAGAAGTGTGTTCAACAGTAGAAAACGGGCTTCGGATAAACTTTGCAGTTTTTAAGGATTTAAAAAAGAAAGCTTTGAAAGGTGGTTGCATGCTGTGTACACAGACACGACGCGATTGGAATGAGAAAACGCGCAAAAAAAGTTTGTAACGAAACGAAAGAATAAGGTAAAAAGAGTTATTTGTTTTGGCTTCTGTGTTTGATCAAGTCAAGAAAAAGATGAAATTACATGTTATTCTCGGCTAATAAAAGAGTTTGTTTTTCAGGATGCACTGGCTATTGTTCCCAATTTTAAACCTCCTTGTAAGTACTTAATCTTTGAATTTTATTTTCACTTCTACTGTATGATATTTGAACATATGGTCGTCTTGTGGGGTTTCTGAGGTGTAGAAAACGCGTAGCCTATAATTCAGTGGCTTCCACAATTTCTGACTTATTTTTTTTTTGGGGGGGGGGAGTCAAAATGCATTGAGGCTCACTGTGTGAACTCGTGTTTTGTAAACAGGCCAGGTTGAACTCATGTAGAGGGAAACACATTACAATCATACATGAACCGATGCAGTTCTGGAAGTGCATGTGAAGTTTAAATATGTTCTTTAACAAAGGTATTATAGTCTCACTTACAATGGTATTATGGCACTATGCGTATTATTTTATAGACTAAACGTTTGATTATGTTTTCATTGATGTGTTGACTAAAAAAGGCAGCAGGCCGATTGAATTTGTTTCCAGTTTTTAATCTGGAGTTTGAGTGGTATCAAGGTTGATTGTAGGGCCGTCCATGTTCATGATGGCACGCTAAATTAATGCGCACACGACATTTGGGGACGTGGGGGTCTAACTTCTCCTTCATGCCACTATCTCAAACTCAGGAACTGAACAAGTTAACACACTGAAAACCAATACGTGAAACCTGGTAAAGATATGAACATTTTCTATTTTGTAAACAGAGGTTGGGGTAGGATAGACTGCGCGGAGGAAAAGGGCGTGCTTCGCCTCTAATTACCGTCGTTAATTGGGACACCTGTTGAGTATTGCTTACAGTAGTCTATGGTAGCCTATTGCTTTAATATATAAAGCTCTTATCTAAAGCAATAAACTAAAACTAAATTTGTGTTTCAGGTTTGCTTTAACAACTGTATATCAGGTGAGTGACTTTTCTTCTCGTTTTTGTTATTATTTTTTGAGTTAGGATAGACCCTAGCCTAGCTAGTCTACCTGACCTTGTTGGCCCTACAAGTCCATGCCCTAACCCCCCTAGTAACACTCTAGAAATTAAGGCTAACTAGCATAAAGGCCAATTTGCATAAAGCAATAAGTCAAATCTGAATTTAAAAAACAACATTCAAAGAAAAATGAACTCCTAAATGTGTTAAACTTAAATTTCAGATAGGCAGGTTAATGAAGTAACAGCCCTTCACTCTGAATTGAAGTTACTAGAAAGCGCCTTTCCATCCACTTTTTTTGCCATTTCTAGAAAAGGTCAGGCACGACCTAGCATTACTCCATAAAAATTCACTGCAGAGATGAAAAATGGCATCAGACAGAGACATTAAATCATCAACATGGAACTTTTAGGAAACCTCCTTTCCTCCAAGTAAAACATAAAATAAACACTTCATATTTTTCTTAGTTTTTGCATGTAGTTTTCCGCTGTTTGAGGTCTGAGTAGTGCCATTTAATGACATCTTTCACTGGCACTTGCTGGAGAATTAGCCCCATTTATAATGATATGTGTCAATTTCCAATATGTATAACTTGTTTGGATCGAAATGAACATTCATTCTCAGTGTTAGAAATACGATTAAAATGTACTATTCGGTACAGTATTTAACTTGACTGCTTGAGATGCTCCTTTTCTCAGTACATTACTTGTATGTTATTTAGGTGGACAGAAATTCTTGGAACATTTACATCATCATTTGGCGGAGCTGAATAAAACCCTGAATTACTTGTTTTCTGTTAATGGCACTAATTTTATTTGTGTAGAACAATGTTTTAGCTCACTCTCTAACATTCGTTGAACAAGCAATTATGGCATAGTCAGATAGATGTATCTGAGTTTTTCACCAGTTTTGTATGTCAAGTATCTGACTTCTACTTTCTTCTACTTTCCTCTGACAGCCTTTACATTGGAAACCAGATCCCAGACACATGATGAGTCCTACTATGAGTATGTTCCTGATCGCCTGCAATGGAACAGAGCAGGGGAAGTGTGTAAACAGCGCTCTGGGACCTTAGCCACTGTCTCCAACAAAATAGAGGACCAAGAGCTAACCAACTTTTTAAAGTCTTTGTACATCACTCAGCCTGTATGGATTGCCAGGAAAGTCAAGACACATCTGACAAGTAGGTTCAGTCAACCATATGATTTGTGACACTTCATATTAACATAATAGAATAATTTTTTACATCCACAGCTTACATTTTTCCCTACTGCTTACATTTCTGCATACTCACTGACTTAACAAAAAGGTTTATAAAAAACAAAATGGGACTCAAGATGGTGCTTTATGGAATTTTAGCACTGTTTATTGATAAGGTTTAATCTTTTCCAATAGTTCTGCCAGTATTTTTCTCTCATAGAAATGCCTCTTTCTTCTCTCTGTTTGGGATGAAACCAAAGGTCCCTCAGAGACCCAGATTCTAGAATTCAATGGGCGCTCGGAAACCAAGCATGCCCGTCTCCTTCACAAGTTCCCCTCCATGGATTCAGTGACTGTTTGCACTCGTCTCAGATTTGATCTAAACTGCTTTGGAATATCCACCATCTTCTCTTACTCAATTCAGTCCTTCATTAATGAGTTCCAACTCCGAGCAAACCTGATTCAGGGCGAGCCCATTCAGCTGGCTCTGCTGGTCCATGGTGTCCATGGACGTTATCAAACAGCCTTTGACCATGACGACTCCTGGCACTCAGTGTGCGTTACTTGGAGTCAGAATGGACGCTGGGCTCTATTTAAACATGGCCTTGTTGTTGCCAGGGGTGATGGCCTTAACAGTTCTGACAGCATTGGCCAGGATGGACATTTCATTATCGGTCAGGAGCAGGACACCTATGGGGGCTCATTTAAGAAGGATGAGTCATTCTCAGGGAGCATCACAGACCTACACATATGGGATCGGGTACTGAACAGCAGTGAAATCTACACCATGGAAAATGAGTGTTCCCCTGTTTCCTCTGGGCTGGTCTTCAAGTGGAGTGAAGCATCAATGGAAATAGAGCCCTCCCTCACCAGTCTGAGGGGGGACAGCCCTTGTCAAGGTATAGTTGTTAGGACGCAGCAATAGCACAAAGGTAGACGCTGAAGGATTCACAAATTCTTAGTCATACCTATTTAATATCCTGCTACAGGGGAAACATTATTTAAAATAGACCTAGGTGACTCAAATATATGCCCAATGTTCTGTGGTATTGATAAGAATTTTCTTAAAATGCTTTTTACAGTTAAAGTACTTTAGCTTCAGAGCTGGGTGGGGTTGCTATGCAGAAAAACAATCACATGGAGACCATTTGGAAAGTCATTTTGGACTACTTAATTTTCAGTTACATGCCAAGATCTGAGCTGGCCTGATGTTGAAAACTCCACCCTGGAGTCCATCTGGCATTCCAAGCAGGGTCAAATAAATGCTCTGAATAAATTGCAGGTACAACTAGACCAAAATCTGTCTGTCCCTGATTCATCCTCCTCTACACCCACATTTATCTCATATTTGTTATCAGAGCCAATATGATGTAATAGTATGTTTGTAATAGAACACATTTTTTTTGGACATCATTGCACTAAATTGGCAGCCATTCAACAAAATGTGCAATGTTAACTGCATAACCATGCATTGAGTAAGATATCTGATTGATGTTTTAATTATGTAACGTGCATGTATCATATATCATATCACAGAACACTGTACTGACTCAGATTGAGATCAGCAAAGGAGCTTTATTAGGATATCCATATCCTTTTCTGAATTGGTGGAATGCTTTGGCAAACTGTTACAACTACTGGACACACAAACCCACTCTCTCTTTATTCCTCTAGTCAGTAAAAATAGAAGTTTAATAAGATTGTTGGAAGAGAAAATGTTGTATTTCTGGTTTTCAGCCTGAGATGAATAGGGAAGATGGTGAGCAAGCTGTTATTGGCAGACAGTAATCTTGTTAATGATTCTGGTAAATGTTTTGTGACTCACGTCAGTCCTGAATCCCACCCTTCAAACAAACTTCTCCTGTACTTACATCATACTCCCCAGTGAGCAATAAGAGCCCAAAAACTGCCCCCCCCCTCCTACAACTGAACATGCAGAAAACATAGTGAGCTTTACTCCTTCATTGATTTTCAGTTTCAGGAGTTAGGAGTATTTCTTTTCCCCAATCTTTCTTTATTTTCTTTCTTTTCCCCACACTCTGTGTGTAAATCTTTCCCCAATCTTAAAAAGATTGGGGAAAGATTTACACACAGAGTCAGGTTATGGGAACTGTAGCTTGTGGCTGAGTGAATGATCTGAGGACCAATCTTTAACCAGTTATTTTCTTTTGTACTCTGTCTCATCAGACTTGTTTAAAAATGTTATCATCTGCCCCACTACTCCTTCAAATGAACTGCCACAGATTAAATCACTCTTACATCTACTGTAGTCTTCTGGTCAGGCGCTATCAATTTTTAATTAAATTCAAATGGGCTTTATTAGCATGAAAGTAATTCTAAAAACGTTGCCAAAGCATAAAAATACAATTTGTCCAAATATTCAGACGGTACACAATTAACAACATTAACATTGATTTTATAGTAATTATATATACAGTGTGTGTGTGTGTGTGTGTGTGTGTGTGTGTGTGTGTGTGTGTGTGGTCGTGTGTTGGTCATTCACTGTCCCTCAGGTTGTGGCATGTTGATATATATTGGGCAGCAAGATATACCCTGTCTCCTTCTCCCAGGAGTATTTTTATTTTTGAGAGTTCATTGAGCTTTATGAATTCTGTGATGACAGCGTTGAACTTGTTAAAATTAAAGTTCCTTGTTTCATCAAATGTTTTACAATGTAGGAGAAAGTGCATCTCTGTCTCCAACTCACCTGTCGGACAGTGACCACACGTTCTGTTTTCTTTTGGTTGCCATGATTTTTAGTGTCTTCCTGTTTCGATTGCTAGTTTGTGGTCACTGAGCCTGTACCTGTATCTGTCTCTGCTTTCTATCTCTGACAGTACAGAGATATTCAGCTAATTCATAATCTCTCTTTAGGGCCAGATAACATTCAGATCTACTTTGGCTTTAAGTTTCTTCTTTCCAATGTTCCAGATAGGATTCTTTAGAATTTGTTATAATTTGTTTTACTCTGATTGGTGTTTGGAGAGCAGTGTTTGTGTGAGGCTGCTCAGACTGTGTCCAACAGAGGACAGTTAGCCTCAGTACCAACTGACATAGGGGACTCTTTTCTGGGCTCAGCTCTTGAGTCTGGAGGGCTTTAGAGTAGAGGGTGTCTGTGGGGCTGGATGTCAAATGGTTATAAAAGTTGATTGTTCTCTTGGGAATGTTAATTGTAAGTGGGTATCTGTTTCTGTGTACGTGTAAAATGTGTCTGCAGAATGAATGAACCATGAATATGTATGAACTATCCCATATATGCTAAAGAAGTATAAACAGTGGTTACATAAACATGTTACACACTATAACAACTAATAAAACTTACAACACATAATTTAACACAAAATATAACTCAAGCCATATGAACAGATGCTTATTTGGCTCATTTTCTCAACAAAAATTGACAGAGATTTTTTTAAATTGTGTGGTTTAGTAGATAAAATGAAATGAGTTATAAGTGAGGCTCTGTAGACGTAGTTTCATGTTGCCTTATTATCCATACTTAGAATTTACTATGGCTTGTTGTTTGATTTCTGAAGTGTATAACTATCCATGTCTCTTTAACTAGATATGACATTTAGTCTTTTTCATCCTTTCTCTTACTAGGAAACATCACTATATTAGCAACTTCGCTTTTGGACCCCCTCCTGGATTCTTTACAGAATCAAACGCTTTCCTTTAAGTTATTCCGCAGCCCTCAGTCTGATGAGGATTGTGGCATCTTTGACCCTGTTACTGGGAACTTGGCCCATGCTAACTGCGACTCATTTAGAGGAGCTGTCTGCCAGTTCAAGAAAGGTACCATTTACGTTTATAATGTTTGATTTGTACACATTTTACTATGTTATGTGATCATTTGGTTTGCTTTATCTCACCTCAAGAGAAAATACAGCATTACCACAATCAATTGTCATAGCTCTGTAATAAACACTACTTTCCTCGAATGGAGAATTTTGTTGTTGTTGAAACTTACAAACTAATCATGAAAAAAGCATGAATCTAATGAAATGTAATAGGTTGTAAAATGTAATCCTGTGACAATAGATTTAAAAACATTGTAATGTATTTCTCTATGTTATGTCTGCAGAAGTCCTGGATGTTATCACTGTACCAAAGACACAATTCTTCAGTATATTGAGCAAGAATCCTCTGACCAAACTTGTGAGTGTGACATTCAAGCCAAATGTAGCACATACAGTAATTTAGTTATACTGCACCATCAGTTCAACTCAACAGAGAATACAAAGGAGACAGTGCACACTGATATGGTTCAAATATTTAATAACTTCAAAGCAAATCTGGCTGTGATGTGAGAGCTTGTAGAATGTGATGTGATTGGAAGTCCACTACTTTTCTCGCGTGAATCTGCGCTGCTTGAGTTTTGCAACAGATTTTGCGAGACGTCTGTAGCAAAACAAATTTGTACTTGTAGAAATGCCCATGCACATTCTACAAGCTCTCACATCACATTCTACAAGCTCACATCACATTCTACAAGCTCTCACATCACATTCTACAAGCTCTCACATCACATTCTACAAGCTCTCACATCACATTCTACAAGCTCTCACATCACATTCTACAAGCTCTCACATCACATTCTACAAGCTCACATCACATTCTACAGCTCTCACATCACATTCTACAAGCTCTCACATCACATTCTACAAGCTCTCACATCACATTCTACAAGCTCTCACATTTTGCAACATATCTACCTTCATACACTTCCCTATTACTGTTTTTTTTTAACAAGACTTACTTGTTGGTTAAATATTTAAAGAATCTCTTGTACTTGGTGAAGAGAAGAGATTACAAACCTGAGCATCACAGCAGCATTGCATTACAACCACCTTTCCTCATCTGATATTAACTATTTACCTGTCCTTCCTCTCCTTAGGTCATTGAGGAGCTGAGTGTAAACACTTCTCAGGAGAGAAATCTGACAGTGCTCCAGCAGTTGAGCCAGGCTGTTCTGCAAATGTTAGAAGCAGACGGACCAAACCTACTTACATCCAGTGATGTCCTCTTCCTCACCCAGATGATCGAGATAGACCTGACTGCACTGGCTAGATCTTACTCTGCAGGAGATGACACAGCAGAGGTCATGGTGTCCATTGCTACAAATTACGTAAAGGCAGCAAGTGTGATGCTGGAGCCCCACATGGCCATGCAGTGGATGGGCCTAACAGAAAATGGGGTGAGGGAGTGACTTGTGTTTGTCTGCAAGACCAAAAATGTTTCTGGTTTGATCGGATGAACTCTATTTATTCATGAAAGTCAACCTAACAGTTGACCTTATCCCCGCAAGCTGTGCTTCGTCGGTTGTAAAAAATGTTTTGTTTTTGTGTCTCATTTTCTTGTACAGGTCAGCGTGGAGCCTTTTACTATTGTCAAGAGCATAGATAATCTTACTGAGGCTCTTGCAGACATGCTAGCTGTTGAGGAAAGAGGCTTCACGCTTTCTACCAGGAACATAGGTAATAAAAACATCGTCAAAGACAAATTAATCATAGATCCAATTATTCTTTGTTCAGAATACAGGTGGCAAAGTTTCAGAGGTGTACAAAGTTGTTAACATGTAAAAATAGGAATATGTAGCCAAACTTGCTGTAATTATGTAACACATTTCACTTTAAGATTAAAGGCTGGCATTCTTGTAATGCGTTTAATTATAATGTAAATTACCCTGACCATTATTAGCTCTTGGCTCACAAACGCCATTGACAAATGTCTTTGCTATCTTCTCATTCTTACTAGAATTGTTCATCTCCTTTAACTGTATCTTTGTCCCCTGTTGTCTTTCTTGCCAGATGTGTTCGTGAAGTGGCAGAAGCTGTCAGAGAACAGCCCAAGTCATGTCTTTAAGCCGTCCACTATCGGCTCCCGAAGCAGCAGCAGTGGTCAGGATGAGTTACTTATCCCTGGCACTGAGCTCCAGAGGATTTACACACTGGGTAGGAAATACACACATGGATTGCCCTTATTTTAAAGGTTAACATAATGACTTTACAAATAAAAGCTGTACATTGAGGACAGGCATATATACAAAGCGTCTTTTTGCTGCCGCTTTTAATGTCACACAAATTGTTCTGAGTAGATTTTTTGCAAAATTGTGCTGCAAAATGCTGCTAAATAAATGCCAGTTCATTCTTGACTAATTAATTTAGGATTTTGTTAGTTTCATCTCTATTTTATAGATATGTTATAGTTAATGATATGACATTGTTATTTATTTTCAAATATATTACATTTTAGTTTAGCTTTTTTGTTACACATTTTCTGGGGTTTGGTCTGGAGTATATCTTTATACCACCAGAAGAAAATCATAGTTTGGGCTGTTAACAGAAATGTAAAAAAAAAAAAGTGGCAGGTACTTTGGAAAGAGAACTTAAGGCAGATGGATATAAACATCGTCTTGTAATTGTGAGTGTATTTGGAGGAGTTTTGGTGTGAATATTTAAAATAAGTCTTTCAAGCATGACACTGTAAACCAAAAGGGATGCTCAGAATAAAAAAATAAAGTTTAATCACTGAAGGATTAAAATAAATCTGATTTCTTCTCAGGTTTTGAGGAAGTGATGCTTATTCATACCCACTACAGCCGTCTGAGCGAGATTGTATCTGAAGTGGACCAGCCTCCACTGAGTCACCAAGAGAAAGGAAAACGGTTGGCTTTTGTCTGTTGTCTTCTCTTATTGCTCTGTTTTGAAATTAAGTTGAATTTGCACTCATTCTTTTGGGGTTTCTTTCTTTTAAGGTCTAACACTTAAACAGGGCATCACCATCACCACGTTGAAGCATTTGACCAAATATCACATTATTTTCAGCGTTCGCCTTTCTTAAAAATAGTCTTGTTAATTTTATAATGTCATCATCAGTTTCGACCAAATAATCTGTCCTTATGCTTTTACCTTCACTATTTTGTAAGATAAGGGATCATTCAGACAGTGGTATCAGATTTGATTAAAGTTTGTCCTGTTCTTATTATTACTTACACATCTACGCAAAACTCCTGAAGTTTACAGGGTGAGCTGTGTGTAAACGCTAACAGCCACAATTTGATCTGACTTTTTTAACTTTGGCATCTTAAAAGGCGGCTTATAGTATATGTACAGATGAATATGACAACTATTGCTTTTGTCTGCTTTCCCAGAGTTCTACCAGGTCACCTGACTTCTGCTGTCATATCAGCCTCCGTACGTGATACCTTCAAGGCCCAAACCATCCCTGTGGCTGTCCAGTACACTCTGTCATCATCTCATGTGGTACAGTCCAATATTAAAGATTATATTGTATGTGAAGTTTAAGGATGATCATTATTGTCTGCAGTGTTCACTGTGTGTAAAAGTGGCTTGAGACTTTTTGTTCATATGTAGTGGCTCTCAAACTGTGGGCACGACCCCTAGGAGGAGTGTGTAGACATGACTGTGCGGCGCAGGTTGCTTAGGCAGGAACGTGGCCAGGCATAGTCATGGCCCTCGTTGATTTGTTACCCTACATGCCACTCAAAAATCACAAACTTTGGTTAGCTATTTGCCCTATCAGAGGTGGGATTTATGTAAAAAAAAGGATTTAGGCGGTTTTTCAACAGGCTGCTTGCAGTTTTCATTACATTTGAATGTGGCATATTGCCTTTTGTGAGTTTATTTAATTGTGACTTTGGACATACACTTTACACTTTACATTACACTTTATGAGCCCTCAAGATTTAAATGTAATGCAACTCTGTTGTGTTCCTTTTTAAAGTTAGAAATATAAAATGTAAAATAAAAAGAAATAGATAGTCATCTGTAAGTAGCTATACTAGAAACACAGAAAACGTTAATAATTAATATTCATGAACATGTTTGCACTGACTGTAATGACAAAATGAATGCTCATGATCTTGATGGTAATTTATGAAAGTTTAACTTTGCCCTTTTAGTCACCATTTTGTTTGGGTGGGAGGGCTTTCCCCAAACAGAAAAGGTTGAGTACCACTGTGATAAAGAAGTAATTCTTTATGGATAGCAGTTTAGTTATTGTCAAGTTTCCCTGTTTGATAAACCCACCAGCAAGCAACATGTGACTTTTACCCATGATGCTCCAGGTTTGCTAGGGTCTAAGTATGAGAGAAACAAAGAGAAAAGAAAATCAAGTTCAAATGTGTTTAATTTTCTAGGTGGAGTATTCTCAGCGCGTCACCCCTGTTTGTGCCTTTTGGAATTTCAGCTTCATGTAAGTTTGAACAACAGCACAGTCACATAAAGAGCTTGATAAACTGTGTTATGATGAGGTGTTCCCTAATCATTTACTAGTTATTTCTAAGGACATATTTAGCTGTTTTGATGCCATGCATGGTAGGTACATATTGCATTATGTGACATACAGTATATGAAACCTGTATAAATATTATTTATAATTCTTTATTTTTTAACACCAAATGTATTGGCTCTCTGAAATGATGAGTGTGTATTTGTGCTTTACAGGCATAATTATACCAATAGCTGGTCCAGTGATGGTTGCAGGGTGACTTTTGTCGGCTCTGGTGTCACTTCCTGCTTCTGTAATCACACCACCAACTTTGCAGTGCTGATGAATTACCTGGAGTCAAAGGTAACAGAGGGAATGTGTTTGATGCTATTAGACAAGTCAAATTAAAACTATGGTGAAGGATAGGGGTGGTAAGGTGAACTTCAGTACGTTTGTCTCATTAACATTTAGTAATAGTTATTTGAAACAAATTGAAATTAGACTGTTGTTGTGCAACTAAATCTAAAGTGCTGATGTACATTGTGAAGTCCTGATCCTTCACCTCTAAAGTTAAGACTAGGCTTTACTGTACACTTTAAATACCAGCATAACTCCAAGTATTAAAGTCCAGTTGAAGAATGCATGGTGATAACTGTTTTTTTCTCTCATACAAACATGTAATGTAAGATTTAAGATAAAGCGCATAAAAAACAAATATACACAGCATTTTTAAATAACTCGAATGGTTTTGGAGTCATGTTTGGTTGAGCTTTCACAGCTTCCATTTATTATGAGACTTCTTGAGTAAAGGTTTTGAGGGCATCAGATGGATCAAACCAAGGACATACAAACAACATTCTCCTCTATCGGTTGAATTTTGAGTTTGAAAGCTTTCATTGTCATTGTATAACAGGATACAACAAGATTATGAGCGCCACTCCTGGTTTGTGCATAGAAGTCACTTTCAATCAGTGTTAAAAACATTTGCACAGAAAAGCATATTCCATAGAGAACACATTCATGTTCAAACTCGACATATAAATAAATATAGTGCCCAAGTTAGTGCAGGGTGAGGAATAAATAAGTAGCCAAGTAGTCTCTTGCATTAACCTACCTTTCCTCTCTGTTCTAGTGGAGTCCCGAGGAAGAGCTAATTTTAACCAAGCTGACATTTATTGGCTCTGGTGCATCTCTGTGTGCGCTTGTGGTGACCTTGATGCTGTTCACTGTACTGGAGTGAGTACAGCACTTGTCATAGTACAGAGACTTGTTATGCTTAGCCACAATGCCAGCTTCTCTGTATTGCCTCTGTCTGTTTGAACTAATATCTATATGCCTTAGACTCTGCCCCTTGTGTGTGTTGCTGAATACAATAAGCTACACAATGGTCATATGTTTACAGAAACACAAGAGTTGAGTTAAAACTTATAATGTGGATTTAGAAGACACTACACTACACAGTACATTATAATGTATGCTTTGTCCTGGTATTTGTTGTCAATACAGACATTTTCAATTTCTTTATATTCTTAGGGAATAAGAATATCAGCTGATTTGCCAACCTAATTATGTCCATGAAATAAACATGTTGTAGGTATGTTAAACTCAACCATGCATCCTTCTGCTATAGATGATGTCTAAAGTCAGGATTAAAAAGTACATACATTCAACAATTCTTTGTCAGATCTTGTCATGGGATTTGATATGAAACTCAGTCAAATAGACAAAACAGAGAAAGATTTCTCATGAGTGTTTGTGAGCTTACCACTGTGAGTATTGATTAGTGCTAATCTAGTGCCGTAATTACTTTGGTCTACATGTGAGTCCACTCTGAAGGTTTATGGCACAATCCTACAGCTATTAATTAACATTAGGGTCACTGAGGGATCACAATCAGCTGAACAGGAGCTGCCCTGACTATTTATGGCCATCCTGAAGTCAATGTGCAGCCATGCATTTCACACGCATGAGGTTCACATGTTTATAGATGCATGTGTAATCAAACTAAATATAAATAAATAAAATAAAAATATAAATGGTCAGGATCGCTCAAATGAATTGAATCTAAATAGGTTAAGCTCATTCAGATGTAATTATAAAGTCTCTAGTCCATTATCCCACTTTAAAGCAGGTTCATCACTTTGTTTCAGTCAAATCTATGGAAATAAAAATATGGAAAATAAATCTAACCTGTAAGTGAAACATTCAACCTAGGGCATCTCAAGACTGTATGTGTTTGTGTTCAGAGATGGTGTTAGACTTCATGGTACATGAGTTTGATCAGATTTAAACAACAGTAAGAGATTCTGCACAACAAACTGAAAACGTAGTTTTGCACTGCAAGGTCAAGTGTGAAATATTTAAGTCAACGAGACATGTCTCATCTTCAAACTGACAACAGGTCAAATAAAAAAATAAAAAGATCTAGGATATAGCAGCAGCACACTCAAAGGTGCAGAACGTTTGGAAGAAGTGGAATCCAAAAAAAAAGATTAAAGCATTCAAAGCAGAGGCAGGTCATTTTGTAGCCTTGGATTTTACTATAAGCCACTTTAGAGATCAAATGAAGAGGCCTGCTAGTCTTACAGTCCAACACTGAGGTACAGAAAAGTTATCTATACACATATAAGCATGAGGATATGTTTTTATTACACAAACTTGGTTCTACTTAAGCTGAAAATGAATAATTGTCAGATATACTAGACTTGACTTTATTCTCATCTCTATCCATAGTATTCCAAAATCCGACAGGACGTCCATCCATAAGAACCTTTTCATGTCTCTGATCTGTGCCCAGGTGATTCTGCTGTGCAGCGGCTCAGCCATTCACAACAAGGTAATGATCTGATTTCATTTACCAGACAAATAAAATATTAATGCACTGGTTCTGAAAGCCCCGTAAATGAGAATTTAAGTACTAATCTATACTGAGGTTCCTTTGAACGCAAATGCTTTGGCAAAACACAAGTGGCCACTGTCATATCTAATAGCTGGAACGCATGGTTCAGTCTCTCAGTGGTCACCAAATAACCTGTTGATGGTCCCTTGACCCCAGTTTATGTCAGGGGTTGGTTTTACCCTCCAGGGGCAGGTGTCCACGTGTTGGAAAATCATCAAATGGGTTCATATATGTATAGGTTAACGGACCATAAGGACAATTTTAACGCATGTTTTTGGTCAACTCAGAGCTATTTTAAATGAATTAGATTTGAGGGCTCGAGAGTTTTGCTAAAATTGTCTCCATATTGTTTCTGCTTGACATACAGGTTTTGGTAGTTGCAAGGATTTGATCTGCTATATTTTATAAGTCAGTTTTAATTGTGCTCTTGAAGAAACTATTTGCTTAACAACCTTGCAAGTGTAGCCAAGTAGGTTTCATGGACATTACACATCCCGAGTAATGTGAAATAAACCATACCTCCCACTAGCACTTGCAATATGCACTACCAAAATGAGAGTAATTGTTTGGTATGTTTGTGCTATAAAAATGTGAATTAGTTTTTCTTTCACTGTTGAAATCTAACATGTTTCTTTTCTGCATTTCTGTGTTGATTGTGTTTAAAGGTGGCATGTACACTTGTGGCAGCACTGCTCCATCTCTTCTTTATGGCAGCATTTAGCTGGATGTTGGTGGAGGGTCTGCTGCTCTGGAGCAAGGTGGTCGCTGTCAACCTAAATGAGGACAGACACATGAAGTATTACTATCTCATTGGCTGGGGTAAGATAGCTAACCAATAGCCAAATCACCTTTGTTGCACATACTTACTGAGATTAGCTGTGATTTTGTTAGATTTATATTTTAATCTAATGAAATAGATACAATAAGTTAATGATGTATACCCAGAGAAAGTCTGTTTTCCTAATTGTTTTGCCTAATATTTGTGTAGACCTACATTTGACAAGGTGGCTTTATTATATACACTGTGTGAACTATACAAATCTAAAGATGATATTTTCCTGACGTTTGTGAATTCTCATATTGTAGTCCAATATTCTCGTCCTTTCTGATTGTTTGTCCTGTGTGTGTGTGTGTGTGTGCGTGCGTGCGTGCGTGCGTGCGGTGTGTGTGTGCGTGCGGTGTGTGTGTGTGTCCCGGCTCTATCCAGGATTGCCTGTGTTGATCGTCACAATCACGCTGGCATCAGCCTCAGGCAAATACTCAGCTGATGGCCACTGTTGGCTCAGTGTCCAGAATGGGATAATCTGGGGTTTTGCTGGTCCTGTCATCTTCATCATCATGGTTAGAAATTTAGATTTAACTCATCTTGTCTGTCAAACCGCAGGTGTTCAGTTAGATATTCATTTCCTTACTTGTTTCCTTCCCTTTTGCAAAACCGCAGCATCATATTTTTCCATATTTTTTTCTGTCAATATGTTTTTCTATTCTCTCTTATATAAGTGCACCTCTTATGTTTCATCTCTTTGTTTTTTGCCTGTAGCGTCTTTCATTTTTGTACCCTCCCCCTTTTCTTCAGGTGAATCTCATGGTACTGACCCGGGTGGTAGTCATTACCATATCCACAGCCAAAAGAAGGTCCATCATGTTGGCCATGGGCACAAGTCCTGTGGAACAAGCCTATGAACAAATGAGGTAAACACCAGAAGGGGGCGCCATTTGTCCTCTTTTTTAGATTTTCACTCGGGCAATAGGATTTGGAGCAGACAAGCTGTAGTCCTTAATAGTGAAATAAAAAGCAGCTGGGCTAATTTATATTCGATTTGTCCTTTCAAAATAAAAGCCTAGATAAGACACACAAAAAAACAGAACTTGGCACAATGTATTGACATTGCACCTCAAAAGCACTGCATACATATTATATCATTTATCAAAATAATGTAGTTTATGTTGGCTTTGTGTGTGTGTGTGTTTTTTTTATTTGCTTTAGATGTTTTCTTAGCACTGTTAAATAGTACAATTTAAGAGAAAACTTTTAAAAACGTTTAAAATATATCCTCTCAGCAGCTGCAGTCTGAAATAAGAAGCACTTTTATTGTCCTTCAAGAAAACTATATTCATCACATATTGCTATTTCAAAATGATTCCTACCACACACAGAATACACTTTTTGTTTTCCTCTATGACTGTGTGATGAACGGTTAAGGATTGTGATTGGTCAAGTGATATGCATATCATATAGTTCAATAACATATAGATATACTAATTTCATATTATTTTGATAGAATAGACCTGAGTTACTTTTAGTGCTAGATCTATTACAAGGACTAGATTTGCTTTGATATTAGTGGTGGACAATAAACATATCTAGTTTTCTTTAATACGGTGGATGTTGCTGATCTTGCTTGGTTACATTATGTTCTAGGGACTATTGCTCTATGATGTCCAGCCAGACACAGTATCACTACATCCCTGCTGTCATTGTCCTTATCTTGTCTTTCTTTGGCTCAGGTGTTGACTCTTCAGAGTGATACTCAGCTGTATTTGATCCAGTAGATTTCCTCAAGCAGGCTTTGCATGAAATCCTATCAGTAAAAATCACGTTGAGGGGATGTCTTTTTTTTTAATACACTCCCTCGGCCCACCAGGGCTCACAGTATGTGCTTTATGAAGGTTTTCAAAGCACGCCTTAAACCTTTTGGCACCCTTGGGTGGCAGCCATTGCGGAAACTCAAACACATTCCTCCACTGAATTAACTAGAGCTCGCCGCCCGCCGTGTGACACATACACAATCACACACACAGCTGGTGCGGTTTGGCAGTCACCTGAGTGGGAAGATAATTCCACTCTAAACAGAATTAAGGCAGATTTAAGGTGGGAAGTTGTCACCCAGTGAGCTTTCCCAGCTGCACAGTGTTGTATATGGAAAACCTGCCTGCCAGATTTGGTCAGTTTTGTCCAAAAAGCTGAAAAGTTGAGAAACCTAGAATTGAACTAAGAGAGCACAGTAGAAAATGAATATTAAGTGTTTTTTTTAAATTCTGAGTTCACCTTAGTCAGCTAGTCAACCAATTTTTGGTGTTCAATTGTGTTTAATTCCTATCATGTGGTTTTTGTATGTGCTTGTGTATGTTTGATCACAGGGCTGCAGTGAAAGCAGTGTTGGTGTTGCTTCCTATTCTTGGCCTGACATGGCTGTGTGGCGTCTTGGTGCCTTTTTCCATTGTGATGGCCTACATCTTCGTCCTACTCAACTCCTTGCAGGTACACACACTCAAAAACAGATGTTACCATTGTTTATTTGTGTGTGTGCTTTTCTCAACACACATCCACACATAAACCCCACCACCAATATTAAGAATGTTCTGTGTCATTTATGTGTAAAATGAATAAATAATTAATCTTAGATCAAAGGGGAATCAATAAAAAAGTATTTAAAAAAAATCATAGTTTAATAGCACTTTCTGTGATCCAAATGTGTCAATTAGGCTGCTCTTAGTATCTGATCTCGTAAACACAGGATTCCTGTGTATATTAACTTAATACTAATATTATGTCTTACATTAAGAACGTGTTTCCCCCTCACAAAAGTGAATATACCTAGGATTTACATTATCCATCCTGACTTACTGTTTTTCTAAAATTCATAAAAGCAACCATCACTTTATCTCAAATGTAATACTTAACAATCTTAAAAAGAGGCATCCCTCTGTTGAAATAAAGTATAAAAATGAAGTATTCAATAAATAACACAGCTAAAAAGTTCAGAGCAACTTAAAATAATCTTCAATAGTTTATAGACCATAAATGATTATTTTTTCTTCAATGAGAAACAGAAAGGTTTTTCATTATTCATTGTAATTGTGCCTTTCTCTTGTGGTTAGGGTACACAGTCTGTCAAGGTTTTTATGTGCCAGTGACAAGTCGTAGGCAGAAAGGGGGAAAGGGCCTTGGTCTGGCTTGTGTTAAACAGTTGCTTCATTTTAACAAGGATAGTCCATTTGTATTGTTTGTGTGATTATTCCTGCTTTTTATTTTTAGGGGTCAGCATTGTTGTTGTTTTTGTGGCTTGTCAGTGTTGATTTGACACTTTTAGTGCTTTTATTCAATGAGTTGTTTTGTCACTAGTACAGTAGTATGACTGTGACTATTAAAGCTCCATTTAAAAATGGCTATAACATTGTGAAATATTAGTTTTTACCTGGAAAAGAGTAAAACTTAAAAATAAAAATAAAAAAAACTGTTTAGCCTAATTTCTATCTACACTCAAGTAACGAAGATGGAAAAATATAATCATCTGACTGCAGAGAATTTACCCAGCATCCCCAGCATGTCCAGATCTGCTGCTGTGATTTGTAGTCGACTTTTAATCAGCTGTATCTTTAATTGAGCTGTATATTTAGGGAGAAAATCAATAGAGGTCTTAGCTGCAGTCTGATCATTAAGCGAGGCCCCTCGGTTGCCATTAATAGTTTCTGTTTCCCCCCTCATATCTAATTATATTTTTTTCCATGTCGACAGTAATTACTGAAGACAGTTTTTCTGGGATCTTATTATACGACTTCACTGCTTTACATCCAAACACATCATATACATTTCTATTCCGTTTCACATACCTGTCAGCAGTATGTGAGCATTCTTTATGTTTTTCTATCTGCCCTGCTCTATTGTCCTGTATCCTGTCTGTTTATTTGTCTATTTATCTGATGCAGTCAGCACACACGCTATATATAAACAATATGCATTAAACTGACACTAAACTGGCAGTTTCCTACATGTATTTAATTGTGAAACATGGAAGAGATAATGTATCTCAGCTCTGAAAATGTTTTCAGTGATACCTCACCTCAGCTATATCAATAAATCTTCAAAGCTATACACATTGAAGATCAAAGTTCATTTTTTAAATAGCAGTGCTTGCATCTGTTGCAAAACTTTAAAGTCATGAATGACTAAATGTTAATAACTTCTGCTGTGCCCTGATCTTTTTTGCATGCAACTCTTAAATCCTTGCATTGCTATTTGCTTCATTCGGGCATAGATTCTGCACAGAGCCAGAATATGCTAGTATTTACCTCACATTGATAAACAATACAGATCATTTAACATGTGTTTTGTGTGTGTCGGTTGCTGGGGTTTCATGTTTTGTTGTAGGAAATAACCAGCTGCTCTGGCATAATGGATCTATGCAGTGTGCCCTTCATAGGTCTAAACAGGTCAGGACACAAGAGGAACCCTGCCAGGCTCAAAGCTGCTCCAATGACACACTCTGTCAACCCCACTTCTCTCTGGTCTACATGGGGTGTACTGACACTTGTAGCGGAGATATTTTGTGGTTTTTCTATAGATGTTGGGAGGTGAAGTGCTTATTGCTTTATTGCCTCTTTGGTTTGGTTTGTTTAACCAAATAGCTAAGGTACAACGGTAATACTCTACTTTGGCTTTATGAACTTTCACTTGGTCGTCTTCTGTTCTTTGCCTTAAAGACCCCAAATTATAGTTGTTTTTACCTTTTATGTTGTCGGTCTGTGAAAATAGAATAGCTTTGCATGATTTGTAGCTCAAAAAACACCTTATTTATTTTAAACTGGCATCACTCTGCCTGAAACAGCTCGTTTCAGCTGCTGTCTCTTTAAGGCCCCGCTTCCTACTTGACTCATTTCCTCTGATTGGCCAGCTCTTCGGGGGCTTTCAAGGGGGGCAGAACCATGGATGTATTAAAGAATGTATATAGCATTGGAAGCATAGGCCCGTTCATTCCAATGAAAGCTGCTCAGTGGTACATGAAGGAAAACAAATGACTTCTGCATTTAAATGTTCCTGGATTTCCTGCTTTACTGGGCACATTGAGCATGCACACTTGGAGTGACAGTCCCGTGTCTCTGATCTGTGTTCATTATGTCAACAAAAATATCTTATCTAATTTCAGCTTATATTACAACTTTTAGGACCTGGCAATTTTGAAAAGTGTTATTTAAGCGTTTGTAGTGGGAACGCAGATTTTTAGACGTCTCTTTCCCAATGTAAGCTTTTGGAAAGAGTCTTTTTGGGCCCAATAGCGTCAGCTGGCACTGCAATACCAGGTTTGTCCACCATGTAAAATTGGCTTCAACGGTGGGCACATTTCATAAGGGGCTTGGGCAGAACGCCACAGGGTTGCTAGGGGAGGGCTCGTAAAACAGCCGATGAAACGACTCCACCTGCCTACGTAGACGCTTAAAGCCATCTTGTGAAATTCTTACAATACAATACTTTATTGTCCCCCAGGGGGAAATTTGTTGTCACAACTGCACAGTTGGTACACAGGTACTCTTGTGTGTTTAGCAGACTTATCCTGGGATTACTCCAACATACATTTACCTTATGATCTGAACCTTTACCCACATTTAATATGGTCATCCAGCGTTTTAACACTATAGGTAAGTAAAATGGGCATCAGCATAATAAGAATAACAGACCCCATATACAATTATAAATAAACACGTTGTCTGGTAATTTGTCTGTATTAAGTTCAGCCAAATGTGGTGTAACATTTTGTAAAAGAAAATATTTTGGAATGAATCATCCTAGTTTTGATGAGCCTATGGCTGCTCCTTCAGCACCACAATGATTGAGGTTGACTGTTGACTGAGCATGTTGACACCATAAACAAAATTGACCATTTAAACATTAACATGCAAGAAGGACCGTTGTGATCATGTTAACATAGCAAATTCATTGTATCTATAAAGCACATTTCAAAACAACCAGAGTTGACTAAAGTTATGTCCAATAGGATAACATGCATAGACAATGTAAGATCCAATTAGCACATCTTGGTAAAAACATAATCGGATACAGAAAGCTAAGGGGTTGAATGGTGGGTGATCTTAAGGACATTGAAAAGCACGGGTATGGCTCAGTCTGGTCTTAAAATGGCTAAAGAGGGGGAACACTTATACTAAGAGGTAGGCTTTTCCAGAGCTGCGGGGTGGCTACAGAAAATGCGCGTTCGCCCTTTTCCTTTAGCCTTGACCGAGGAACAGCCAGGAGCTGCTGTTTTGATGATCTGAGAGGTCTGTGTAGGGAGAGGGGTTGGAGGAGATCAGAGATGTACAAGGGGGCCAGGCCATGTAAAGCCTTACAAACAAATAAAAGAACCTTGAACTCAGTCCTGTACGGCATATTAATGCTAACTTACTGAAACTAACTGAAAAATAAATAGTTGGCAACTGAATGTTGCAACATGGACCATGTTTTCCACATAATTAATGATCAAATCCTGAATTCCAGCCCTTATTACAATAGAATACAGTAGAGTGGTTCTTTAGACCACAGTCCCTTCCTCCTCCACTCCATTGATCCCTTTGGGTCAACCATAGTTTTACATAGTCACACCATAAAAGCTACTCATAAAGATGATGAAAGATGTGAAACTTAAACAATATTGCATGCAAAACCTGTCCTAGTAGGCAGGAGATTAAAAAAAAAAGAAAACATAAAAACTCTCAAGATTTTTAGGAAATCGTTTTTTATTTGCAGCTATTGTATTGTCTATGGAGCTAGCAAAAGCAACATAAAGCTTAAGCGGCAAGCCTTTACTGTTAAATCAATAAAACAGATAATGTTGACAAGCCTTTTTCATTGCACTCCCTCATGCACTCCCTCCTCTTCATCTTGCCCCTGAATCCTGACAACACTGCCTGAAGTGTCTCTATGTTGTATTCTCTCCATAGAGACCTGAGCAGGCCATTTTAAGCACACACTCTGTGTTAGGGGTATAAATCTTTTAGATTTCTCATGTTTCAATTCAATTTAGACTCTTAAGGTCACGTTTTGATTCAAAAAAAGAGTTTTGATTCAGACAGCTACACAATATTTTGCCTATTTATTACTAAGGGGTAGTTATTCAAGGATTTATTCCCGTATGCTGTGCACAAAGAAGCTGCAAATTATTATTTTACATTAAAAAAAGCACAGTAAAATGTGTTCAGATAATGCAGCTTTTATATCTGAAAATGTTTTATCACTTGATTGCAAAAAGGTTAATACACAGAGGAAAACCTAAAACGAGATGAGCATTTATTATTGCTTAACTTGAAATATACTTCAATATTAATACAACTTATCTATTTATCAGAAACTTGCCAGTGGAACAAATGGTGTGATCATAAATTCTAAAGCCCCTACTGTTGAAGACACTGTAGGGGTGTAGGTCTTTAGAAATGAAACAGACAATGGCTCTTGTTATTTGTCAATTCAGACTTGGCTGGCAGATTGTTATA